ATATTATAATATATATAGTATTGCAGATATTGAAAAAGATTAAGAAAATGAACTTGGGAAGAAGTGTTCAGCTTCCTTCGTGTTTCCAATCTATCACTGCTGGGAAGTAAACAATTAGCAGCATAAAAAGGAGGCTGAAAAAGAAAATTGAGAGAGATTACATAAAGGAGGTTGAAACAATTAAATATGCTTCTTTTTAATAAAGAGGCTGGAACAGTTCCATTACAGTATGGAAAACCATACTTGCAAACTGTTCTTCAGTCTTTGCTTCTCCTGCTCTTAAAAGCAGAATTTTATGTGGGCTGAGAAAACTGCCTTTGAGGGAAGAGAGGGTCAACTGATAAAGACATGGAAATTAGGATTTCAAGATTTTTCAGATCCACATTTATTGAAAAGCTCGAAGAAAATGGCAGACAATTTCAAAACAATAGAGAAAAAGAAAGTGTATGGGTGGGTGAAACAGTATCTTATTTTGAAATGTCAGATCATCAGTTCTCACATTAATCAGGTGTCAGAATGCAGATGGTAAAACTTTCCAAGAAAATCAAGAGGTTGCACAAATCAAAGTGGTGATTCATTAGCTGGCAGCTTTCCCAGAGGAGGTAGCTAGTGTTGCATTATGAAAACCAAGAGTTAAACAAGAGTTAAAAGAGTAACACAACTCTAAACAAAAGAAACAAAAGGGGGAAGTTAGTTTCTTTGGCATTGGTATATGTTGTTTATAAAGAGCCAGTTTATATTCTATTTGTAAGATCCTTACGAAGGTCTGATAAGCAATACTTCCACACAGTTCTGTTAGTTTTGAGGGGTTTTTTAAAAGTTCATAGTATTATCAATAGACAAGTGTTCAGTTGGTAAATAACAGATTTTTAATCTTTCCTTTGGGAAAAAAAAATAAAAACAAAAGTAATTTAAAAAAACATCTCTGCTGAAGCCTGAATCTACTTTATGATAGTGATAATAAACCAGAACATCACTTTTTACATACTGTTAAACCTCTTGTTTGTTGTTCTGACTCTATTGTTCACATCTAAACACTGCCTACCTTGAGCTGTCAGAGGAGTCACAGTGTATAGATGTGTACAGCAAATCCATATCCCATAAACCTAAAACTAAAAATAAGCTGTGTTTTTTTTTTTTTTTAATATAAACCCCAGGACACATTATAATTCTTTCCATATGACATTTTCACGTTGCAACCTTCAGTGTTTTTCATTGCATAAGAAAAAAAAAAAAACCCTGTCTAAAAACATCTAATGAGTTTCTGTGCAACTTACCTGTTACCCTCTTATGGGTATGTGTTAACTGTTTTAGGCACTGGCTTTATCTCAATATCTGGAATCAAATCAAGAACAATTCAACCTCAAAGACAAAAAAGTTTTGGAAATTGGTGCTGGAACAGGCTTGGTTTCCATTGTGGCCTGTATCTTAGGTTAGTAAACTTGTATTTCCTTTTGGGTTTCTCGGGAAAGATGATCTAGATCTGCCACTGTCACTTTAAGACAACGAAGCAACAGCTGAAGTAAACTTTGTCACTGTTTTTTTTAAAAATGAAAATTACTGTAAAATACTGTTTTGTTAATAAAGTAACTACCCTAGTTATTGGCAAGTGGGAAGATGGGGAAGTTATGTAGATGAAGTTTTATATATATATATATATATGTTCAACTACATACCTATGAATTGAAACAAATTCGTATTTTCTTTAGGAGCCTACGTTACAGCTACTGATTTGCCTGAAGTTCTTGAAAATCTCTCATATAATATTTCAAGAAATACACAAAACACAAACATGCACAAACCTGAAGTGAGAAAACTGGTATGGGGAGAAGGCCTCAATGAAGATTTTCCTCTGTCAACGCACCATTATGATTTCATAATGGCAACTGATGTTGTATACCATCATGTAGTTTTGGAATCCCTGCTAGCAACAATGGTGTATTTTTGTAAGCCAGGAACAGTATTACTATGGGCAAATAAATTCAGATTCAGTACAGACTATGAATTTTTGGAAAAACTTAGCACTATATTTAACACAACCATTCTAGCAGAATTTCCAGAATCAAATGTCAAGCTGCTTAAAGCCACAGTAAGAGAGAATTAAAGAGAAAACTATTACTAACTTTGATTTAGTGGCAGTACCTTTCAGTTTGGAATGTTTTGCAGTATTACGGTGCACCTTCTGTGCATTTATGTTTGTAAAGTTGCAGTTATAGCTGAGTTTTGCATTACAAGTTATGAAAAAACTGGCGAGACAAATGATACAGCAATTTGTCTCTGGTTGATACATACGACCTGTTGAAACAGACCAATTTCACTCCACTAAAGGAACAATGTTAGCAGCAATAGTCAGTAAAAATGCTTTATCAGAAAGCTTTGATCTTCCAGGCTGCACTGAACTTTTGTTTGTAAGGTGTTTTCTCTCAGCAAGTTTCATTTATGTACTCTTTCAGAAACCAATACAATTTTTAGCTTCGTTATTTGTTTTTATTAATTATAAAATAATCTTTTAAAGTATAAGAGTGCACATGGTGTTTTTTTGATCTTCAACTCTGCACATTTATTCTGCTGTGTTTTACATTTTTAACATTATTAAACATATATGTATAGCTTTACAATACCTGATCAAGATTTAACTGTCTGGCACTTTTATACATGTATCAGCCTGTCCTGATACTCAGCTTCACATGGATTTTTGAATTTGCCTGGAATCACTCCAAAATGAAGATTTACAAGAGCACCTATGCATCAGCAATTCCGAGTTACACATTGTAACAGATTGAGAGGTTGGATTTTTCTTAAAAAAATTAAATGTAAACTCTTGCAAACAATACAGGTAATGATGTCCCGTTACTTTAGTCCAATAAATAAGATTTTAGCTACTCTTAAGTAGCTTTAAGGCCTTCATACAATTGAAATTAAGATCAAACATGTTAAAATTCAGTTTACTGTAAAAAATACAGAGCTTTTACATTTTTGCATTTAAAAGGAACAGTTAAGAACTTAACATGCATGCAGTAAGCCTTTCCAGCCTAATTCCAAATTCTTGGTGTTGGCAGTTCTGGCACATCCATTGCCAGCAATGGGATGCACAATAAGGAAACTCCCTGATGACAGGAGTTAGGTTAACAGGTATTAAGCTGTACCCAGGTGCCTTTACTGATAAATACACACAATTTAATAATCAGCATTCAGTAATGAAAACATGCGTTCCAATAAAAAGTCAAATTTATCTTTTAATATCCTGCCCCATATAAAAATCACTTTAAGTTTACAATTGTTGGTTTTCTAGAATACACAATAATCAGGTGGATACATGACAGGAAGCCAGTTTTCAGTGAAAGTTGCACAATGAGTCCATCCAAGCAACTTCATTAGCTGAAGGAAAAAAAAAAGCAAACATTTTTTTTTTTTTTTTTAAATTAGAAGCTCTAGGGTCTTACCCTTTTAAAAAATATAAATCCTTCCAACAAAAACTGCATTGATATCGACATCTTACTAAAGAAATCTATCATCAGAAAGATAACAGATTGGAGAACTGATGATCTTTGAATTACTTAGTCCTGAAAGGGGAAAAAGAAAACCATTCCATGTGATCTACAGTCTTCCAACAAAATGCACAAAAATTTTGTCCTAGGAGTTACAGTAATTCTCATTAATTCTCCACCTATATTCTACTAGCAATAATTGTGATTAATAATAGTAAAAATAACAGTGGTTAAACAGCAACACAACAGTATTTTAAATATGCAGAAGATCTTTGGCTAAGTTGTCTCTACTTTCTTTATGCCTCAAAGTAAGTTCCAGAAAATAAATCTGATAAAAATTAGTGTTACTCACAAACTAGCTATTCTAGAAAAAGAAAGAAGAAATCACTACTGATGTAAAACAACGTAAAAGGTATCAAAAATTAAGAGACACTTATGTTACTTTTGAAAGCTTACTCAGCATTGACATAGCCCATTATTTACCAAATACACCCTACCTGAATGCAGTTTTTCAAGTTGTCCTTCGTTGGCTTCTCTTCTGCCAGTTTTGTGGCAAACTTGAGACCTCTCCCATACATTTTATTTACCAGTGCATGCTTATAGGCAAAAGTTAAAACCTACAATGTGAAAACAAAAACAAATTAGATATTTTAATACTTTAATTTTACAAGGCTTAACAAGTAATAGCAAATTCTGTTCAGGCAGCAGAAGTGATTTAATAAAAGTAAAACATTTACACAAGATAGCTTGCATTTTTCTTTGCAGTAAAACAGATGATTCACAGTAGCAGTTATACACATGAACTTCCTAGAGACTATTTCTGACTTCATGAACATGTTTGACTTCAGAACATCTTATGGAACACAAATATCACTATTCTAATTTTTATTCATCACATTTCTATCTTCTTTGGATTTTCATTCTCTAGAGGCAACTGTATGGTATTAAAAAAAAAAAAAAAAAGAAATAAATTTAAAAGAAAATCAAGAACCAGGTAGGTATTTCTTTGACCCACAATAACAAAGATCCAATTAACAGTTTTGATTCCTAGGAAGTCACAAACAAGTATGAATGTACACAGTGAGTGATATATAGATATATATATATATACACACACACAGACACATACAGAGAAATGCATATAATTATAAACAAGCAATGAAGACAGGTAAGCATGAAGACAAGCCTCAGGTTTTGGGCCAGCTCCTCACTATTGGTAATTTATAAAGAAGAGATTACAAAAAACCCTTCCTTTTCATAATATCAATTCTAAAGAGACAGCTTACAATATTTGTCAATGCCATAACTAACATGTGCAAATCAAGGTGTCTACTTAAGAGCTAATGTAAAATAAATCGGATTCTTAACACCCTAACACTGACGGCGTTCTGGGTGTTGCAAGACAGTTCATACCATTTCACCAGTTACAGAACTAAGTACAATCAAGACATTGTTTCATATATTCCCTTTGGAACACTCATAGTAAATAGCTTTTTTTCATTTTTACTGAGGAGTAACGTAGCAAAGGTGGTGAATATGGTGGTGTTTCTGTTGTTGGCAAAGTTTATGAAATCCTGTGTTACGAGTTTGCTGTTCATTTCCCCTCAGTCATTACAAAATTTTTCCTTTTCTCTGCCTCCTCCAACAAGAGTCACACTTTGCCAATGTCCACTTAAAATACCCCATTAAGAAAAGCTAACAAAACCACTTTAAGGATGTTCAGAAATAAACATTTTGCATTACAGTAAAAAAAATCTAGTTATATCTTAAGAATATAAATATTAAGGAATCTACAATCCAAATCCTACAAGGACTGAAGAACCTGCCTAATTTTAGCTGCCTGAACACTTCAATTGAATGTTAATCACATGCACGTCTTTGCAGGTTCAATACTTAAAAGACTGAGCTAAAAAAAAAAAAAAAAAGAAAAGAAGAAGAAATAAATAAGCTTAATTATCAAGCAAGTAAAGATGTAACTTTGAAGCTCTAAAGTATATGCCAAGCAGAGTTGCTCATTCTTCTGTCTTCAAGTACTTATTTTGTTGTGTTGAAGTATTCACTTAAGCTGTTGTAGCCTAAAACACACACATAGATGCAACAATGAGCATACAGTACCATTCACATATAGATTTTCCAAATATTGCTATTGGAAAAATACTTTGCATGCTGCATTCTCAATCCAATTATTTTGGATATTTTCCTAAAGCAAAACATATTAGCAAACACTTCTGAATAACTGCTCAGTGGGTCCATTAGCAGATTTAGTTGGTTAAACTAAATTAAAAAAAAAAAAATCCCTTTGGTAAAAGATGACAGAACCACAAAACAAAAACAAAACAAAAAAAATCAAATGAAAAATGCACTGGAGCTCTCAGCAAATATAACATATCGGAGGCTAACCAGAAATAATGTCACTGCTCTATTAAGAAAGCTCTTACCTGACCCTGTAAGTTTTGAATGGTTATTGAACATCAGTGATAAAGGCAGGAGGAAAGCCACTTGACAGCATTTCTTTCGTAACAGGGCTTCCTAGAGTTTTTGTGGCAAGAAAACAAAGCATTTTACGAAACACCCTTGCTCTGGCCAAATAAAAGTTTGGGTATTTCTAAATGAGAAAAAAGTTCTCTGCTGGACCAAAAGGTTGAAAACAGTGCTTCATGAGCTCTTGATAAAATACAGTAATTTCTGTCCTAGTTCTTGGAAAAAAACACCAATCAACTGTATACAAGTTAAGTGAAACCACTAAAAGTTCATTAGCACTTCAGAAGTTAAGAATAACGCTTGAGATGCTTTAAAATCAGAATAGGTTTACAAATGAAAAATGTTAGATAAGAAATAATACTTTATAACTTGTACACATATTGGACAAATTAAGCCTTATAATTAAAATATTGCAAGCTTTACAAGGTAACAGAAGTGAATATTATGATTCCTTGATATGTGTAAATAAAATGTAAACTGGAGTAGTATTAAGATGTAACAGTGAAAACAGCTGCTATCTGAATGCATAACAACAGTAAATAAACCAATTTGTAGTATCTAAAAGCAGTTGCCAGATGAAGGAATAGGAATGAATTCTAAGTATTTGATATTATTTCAGACTTTCAATAAATATAATTAAGGCTAGCTTTTACAGAACAAATTATATGGCCCAGAAATTGTCCAAAGAGTGATAAAGAAATAAGAAAAGTCAATGTGTACTTCTGGGATACTGAGGGGGAAATAACTGTTAGATACTTTCCCCCAAGCTAATGGCCTGTAATACTAAGTGTGCCAAGAGCCAGCTGCCTAACTTGCCATTAGCTACATAAAGATGCATATTTAAGACAGTAAAATGCTGAAATGATCTCTCCCAAGACATCTGCAGGCTAAAATATTTAAAAGCCTGAAAATACTCTTTAAAAACGAACATAATCTGACAACGCAAAACTACCAAATGAAACTTTCCTAGTATCCTAATACTGTTACCTATGAAAAGGAAACTAGACTTGTATAATCAGTTACTTCATTTATTTAAACAGTTGAATACTGGGTTGAGCGATATAATCTACAGATAACACACTCCAACTACTTGCAAGAACACTGAAGTCATAATGTTTATAATTACCAGCAAGTGAGTTTTTTCAGGTTAATATACATCTACAGTAACAAACTAAGGTTTCTTAGCTACCTTTGTTGACTCCTCTCTGCTCTGTCAACTGGCCTATTGCAAATAAGAGCAATTTTCATATGAAAAAATTGACTCATCATATTTTCAAGGGAGGGGATGGAGTCAAGGGAATCAAGTATCCAGCAACAAGTTTTTGGCAGTGACCGAATACGAGCAGCTGGAAGAGACAGCTGCATCTGAGTGCAGACAGTAATATGAAAAACAATCCTGGCTAAAGATGTTTAAAAGACACGATGGAAAGATGTGGGACTTTGATTTGTTTTTAAACTTATTTTTAAACGTGACTTTTTGCTTATCTCCAACAGCTTATTTAAAAGTTGAGTGGTATTAAATTCTACAGATGAGTCATTCACAGTAGCAAACAGGCAACATCCTACTACTCTCCTGTAGCAATTCTGTTTAACACTGGGGAGTTTGGCCTACAAGTTTTAAAGCTATGTTCTAGGTAAAATAAAATCTGCACAACTTATATTCCACTACTAAAAACTCTGAAGCACTATCACAAAAGAGTTGGCAGAGAGCTGCCTCAACTGGAGTTTATTTGAAACACTTTGGTGTAAACAGAGGACAAATTATCTGTCATATTTCATTTAAAATAAACCTTCAGAGACAAGTGATCTAACTAGAATAGCTGAAAGTGTGAACAAGAGCACTTAACTATTAAAAGTCAGCACCAGCTTCCCTACATACTTGTTACAGTGTGGGGACAAGCACAATGCTTCAGTGGAAAACAGGTAACTCAAAGGAAGTAAAGAATGCCCTCTGGCAACACAGGTGCTACACCAAGGTGAAACAAGGGATAGTATTTGGGTTACTAGAGGATGAGCAGAAATGTCTAGAAAAGCGATGATGATGCCGATTCATCTTTAAAAATGACAGAAGAAAAAATGGTCTCTGTTTTAAAAAAAATTACTTGTCCTTTTAATTACTGACATCTGGATGAACTTTGTCTTGTAAGAAGCATAGAAGTAAAAACACTTGGAGCGATGTTTTTATCTAAAGCTATATATATGTTTGACTGATCAGTGCAGTAATTCAAGTGCCTTATTTCCATCCTTTCTCCATCTTTTGAGTGCCAATGCCACTAAGCCATGTCCACATACAGGGAGAGCTCCACATTTTGGTTTCCAACATAGTGCGTTAGAGTAAGCTGGCTGCCTCTTGAGGACTCATTTGAAGGACATTCACACAAGGTCTATCCCTGATCTTACATCTCTATTCCAACTCTACCCTTCCTTCTTCCAAGCCCCTTCTACTCCCCAGAAGGCAAATGAGTCATGTAAGGTTAAGGTGATACAGTCAAGCCACAACTTTTTATTGGTCTGGTCTAAGGCAGTCCAGAGTAGCATCACAAAAAGGCTGCTAAAGCCATAATTTCTTGTTTCCTACTGAGACAAATTTTGCCAAGTAAAAGTCAGCTGGACTGAAGAACACAATCAACGCTTCTGCCCTTACCCTAGCAAAAATACTTGTTTCTTAGGCAGAATTTGTTTTGAATCATTAAACACTACTTTACAAAATTAAGTCCTCAACATTGTTCCTAAACTGCCCATCTCAAAGAAAGCAAGCTACATGAACAGGATGGTTCCCCTTAAATGGTCAGAACCCCAAATTTTCCTCTAACAGTCTGTAAAATAAAATTATTTGCACTAAGCTATTCAGTTTGTTTTTAAAATAGCAAAATATTCCAGAAGTACAACAGCATATTGCATGGAACATCGAGGCAGAGATTTATACAACTGTTTCATCCAAACAGACAGAAGAAGCTGCAAAGGAGAAAGACCAAAGGCCAATGCACATATTTAAAACATTGTATTGGCCCACCTGTGGGGCAGAAGAGACTTATTTTTACTTGAACAGGAAGCTGAGAGAGCTTTAAGCACAATCCCTCTTAAAAAACTTGTCAGCCATTATAAATGAAAATGAATGGTTCCTGATCACATAGCTTGAACACAAGATGCAGTTTGGCAGAGGTGGGTGGAATGAAGGAACTGTAAAGTATTAAGTTAATTTTTGAAGAGAAGTTACAGCCTATGACGCACATGTACAGCTATTCTCACAGTTTACAACAAAGAGTAGGAATATAACTAAGTTTTTTCTTACACTTTTTTTGTGTCAGGTCATATCATAATCATGTAGTCTTAGTCATTAATAGTGACCCATAAAAGAGCTAAATAAAACATAATTGGACTCTCATCATATGTTTATGATTTTGAATGACCAAAGAACATTCTGTCATTGGCTGGAAACTGTCATGCTAACAACTGAAAGAGCTGGTCAGAACAGTGTAATTGCTCACTACAGTCATTTCATAAGAAAACTAGTAGATAGACATGACACCTGTTAATAAAGGAAATAAAAGAATATGAATTGAAAATTTAACTCCCTTCACCCTAGCCCTAGTCCTTTTCTTGAAATCTGTTATCAGGGAAAATCATTAGAGTGCTCCACTATCTCCTTTCAAAGCTAAATTCTCAATCCCATCAAGGCCCATGTCACTCTATTCTCACTTCTGATCCCTTTCAAAGAGTTTCCAGAAAAAGAAAACAACAAAGTATAAAAGTGAACAATTAAAAGTCTCAGTTCCAATAATCACATGAAAACTTAAAGAAGTAGCATGTATTTCTTTTATTTCTTTCCCTTCCAACTTTTTTTTTTTACCTTATCTATAGATACTCCTAAGATTAGAACTACTGAACAGTACAAAGGGAGAGGTGAGAGGATATCCATCATGTGATCTTTAGACACAATGAAATTGATAGCTAGCAAAAGTAACACTCCATCATTACTGAACAACATACATGCTCCTAGATCACAGAAAGCATGAAGAAAACCACCACAGAAACTAGTGAGCTACATAAATTACTTACCAAGCAGTCACTGAATCACAAATGGTTGAAGGCAGAAGGGAGCTCTGGAGATTGCCTAGTCCAACCCCCCTGCTCAAAGCAGGGCCACCTGTAACAGGCTGCCCTGGATCATGTCTGATTAAGTTTTGACTGCTTCCAAGGACCGAGACTTCATCATCTCTCTGGGTAACCCTTTGCAGCTTTTGATCACCTTCACAGTAGAATAATCCAAACACCACACTTCTCTGCCCTGCTCCCCCTACCCTAACCCACAGAAAAACAAAAACCCAACTTTTTCTTCAGTAGAAGTTCCTGTGTTTTTGCTTGCACCTACTACTTCTTGTTCAATCACTGGGAACCAATGGGAAGAGCCTGGTTCTATCTTCTTCACTCCTGCTCATCATATATCTATACACACAGACAAAATCTCCTTGAACTTTCTCTTCCCCAGGGTGAATACTATCAGCTTCTCCTCATACGACAGATGCTCCAGCCCCTTAAACATCTTTGTGGCCCTCATAATACTACTTATACCAGTAATTGTAACTGTACTGAAACAGGGCAATTTGTCCAGCAGCAAGAATACAGCAGATAAACTGTAGGCGGTCCAGGCAGGGTTGAGTAAGTGGGGCTACGTATGGGTACAGGACAGAAAGGCTGCAGAAAAGCACAGGACAAAGATGTACCCCAGGAATCATTAGGATGTAGTGTGACAAGTTCATTTTCTCCATTTTCAGAAGCCACTCATTCAAAATACCCAGAGCACTCTAGAATGTTTCTGGGCTAAAAGTATCGTAAATGTACTGGTTTTGAGTTAGTACTGGCATAGAGTCAGTTTTCTTCACATTAGGTCCTACAGGCTACGTTTTTGACCTGTGATGAAAACAGTGTTGGTAACAGAGGGGTGTTTTCATTAGCGCTGAGCAGGGCTTGCACAGGGTCAGGGCCTTTTCTGCCTCCCATATCACTCCACCAGCGAGGAGGCTGGGGGTGCACAAGAAGTTGGGAGGGGACACAGCTGGGATAGCTGACCCCAACTGACCAAAGGGATATCTAATACTGTAAGACATTGTGCTCAGCAATAAAAGATATAAAGAAGGAAGGGGAGACATTCAAAGTTACAATGTTTGTCTCCCCAAGTGACGGTTACATGTGATGGAGCCCTGCTGTCCTGGAGATGGCTGAACACCTGCCTGCCCATGGGAAGTAGTGATTTAATTCCTTGTTTTGCTTTGCTGTGCACATGGCTTTTGCTTTATCTATTAAACTGTGCGTATCTCAACCCATGAGTTGCCTCACTTTTACATTTCCAGTTCTCTTCCCCATCCTGCTGTGAGGGGGTGAGCAAGTAGATGTGCAGGGCTCACAACAGTCAATCCATTTAAGATTTCAGTTTGACTAGCAAAACCAAGAGGGAAAAGCAGACAATGATACTGTGCAAACAGGATGGAAATTATTTCCATACAAAATGTTACAAAGTTTTGTTGGCCTTTCAGTACCAATTTAACCATACAGAAGCATCATTATTCAGAGCAAAATCTGCATATGCACTTAGACAAATGCATGGTTCAGTGAGTCAAAGGGACAGGTTCAAACCCTAATCTGTGCGATTCAGATCAGAGTTACTCATTCTGGGCCCAGAGCTCTCAGCTCAAGAGTGTCAGGAATCAACATCTGTCTTGTAAAAAAGCCTGTAACAGAGTTATAAACTCCCAACAAGATCTCTATATTGGCAGTTTTTCCCCTGAAATTATTCCCTCAGCTTTAAAAATCAGAAGTAAACCAGGGGTCACTATACTGGAACACAGTAATGTATTTACAAATAGATAGCAAGAAAATAATGTGCCAGACAATATGATTAAAGCACAAAATCTACTACCATAGAATATTATAATCAGTTAAAGATTAGAAAAGGAATGCTGAAAAGATGTAAGTGTACAAGAATATATTATTTAAAAGAAATGAGGGTATCCACCACCAACCTTCTTGTTCAGGCCTCCAGCTAAAGCACAAGTTCTTATCAGGAAGATTATTTACTGTCAAGGAAATTAAGCAATTTTTTTAATTTCAAAGCTTTTCTTTTCTAACTATCTGAAGTGCTTTGGCAATTTAACTGAATTGTGAACAAAGACATTGGTCACTTCATCTTCCACTAAAACACAGCCAAATGCAGGAGTTAAGTACAGCAACTAATTAATACTCAATAACTCAACAGTTTAACATACAAAGTCATAAACTCTATAAATTAAAAGCTACAGAACTAATCAACTACAACTGATTTTTTTTTTTCTTCTCTCTTCTGGAATAGCTGTCTTTAACAAAGCAGACAAAAACTTAAACCCCATGATCAGGAACCTTGAAATGACAGGGAAATCTCTGCTAATAAATATGCAATGTCATTACTTCCAAGGGTTTCTTCCTTTATCTCTACAGACATTACTGACAGCAAAACACAAAACTTCTCGTCCACAGTGTAGAAGAGGCTATGGAATGTAGGACTGAACAGAGTAGGGATGCTGCACACTTCTGTGTGTGTACAGCTAGAACAGCCCAGAGGTTAATAGAAAATATTCCCTAAAAAGTACAGAAAGAAGCAATTCAATAAAGCATGCAGCTTTTTCATGGAAATCTGGTACTGTTCTATACCCTTCCCTTAACCTCTACCTTCACATGCACAGGGATGGGCTTACCATGGATTTGACAGGCTTGGCAAAACCTCTGTGGAAAAAGGTCATTAAGGAAGGACAACATAGGGGGACAGCATGAAAAGATAGAAGGGAGGAATGTATGAGGCTGTGCACACAAAGGCAGTGCATAATACCAGGAGAAACCATCAAAAAAATCCAACATGCAAGAGACAAAAAAACCTGCTCTGCTCTCTTACCTTGCTGTCAAAAAGATCAGTCCATTTTGTTGTTTCCCAGAATGTATCTGTCAAAGCTTCTGAGCAGCTCTCGTGATCCTCATCTTTGCCTTCTGCATCACTGGAAGCAGCCCCTTCTTGGGACTGCAGATGAAGAAGTTGGTCAGCCAGCGCACTTCCTTTTCGACAAAGTGCATCCACCAAAGTAGTCTTCTGCTTTTCCATCTCACTATGAAAAAACAGCATGAAAAATATTAAGGACTTTTTTCAGACACCTCATTAAGTACAGAACCAGTGCTGTACTGAGTTTAAGCTAAGAAGTTTAGCAGTTAGTACATACAAAATGAAAATGAGCACAAAGTTAACTTCTAAAGCATGGCTATTTACTATAAATTAAACTAATTTCAAAAAATTATCTAGTAACACTATGCATTAAACAAGCTCAAGAATTCTTCTAAGTCTGAAATGCCTTTGATGACTTATGGCAAGGGCAACTCAGGATTCTAAAACTGAATAAGCCAGTGTCTAGAAATACAGCTTTATAGTTCTTGGCATTATAAACAGAGAGAGTCAAATCCACCAACATAAGCAGATACAATTCTGCTGACTTCAAAGGAACTGCAACCTTCTAAAGTACCATTGAATTTAGTGTTCAATTTCAGATGTTAGATTCAACCACATGACCTAATGGGTCAACTTACCAAGAAATGTTTAGAATGAAGTTTATTATGTCATAGCTTTGCTTTTATATTAGCAATTCTAGAATTATACACAAAGATTCAGGACAGTCAGAACAGACAGACTAGTTTTACAATTGAAATCTGGTATTTTATCTAAAATAATCAACAAACATGCACCTCCCATTTTAAGGGCCTAATCTTCAAGTCTGCTACTCTATTTGCAACTAAAATGGCACCATGCCACACACTGCAAAATCCATCATTATTCTCCAGACTACAGTGTCACCTTCAAAATACTGTCTTCCTAAGGAGCTATACTGGTAATTCAGAGGAACAATCTAAAACTAAAGAAAAAAACAGGTCTCAAAAATAGTCAGAAGCACAGAGTATGGTCATCATGCTTTTCACAAATAAAATCTTATGCAAGCAACAGTTACTTCTTAGACTGCTGTCAATTTTGTCTTCAAATACAGATCCAAAAGGTTGCAAAGTATTATGAAAGGGCAGGTAGCATTCAAAATACACATCTCTATCAATATTCTAGTGGTCTCTCTGATCTGAGACTAAGCTTGATATAAAAACTTAATACTCCATTCTGATACATTTAAATCATGAAAGCACTCGTTTATTTTATTTAATATTTCTAGGTAAAAATTTGCAGGTTTCAGTGTTCCTGCATTTTGGAGAGATAATAAGAAAAAAAAGTAATTTTGCAGTCATGTTTGAAATTACCTGTGCCTCAAGAAATAACACACATTATTCACAAAGTTTATAGTCATTCCATTTCTTCTAAGCAGAGACAAAGTACATAGATTACAGAAATAGGATGCAAGAAAATTATTTACTGGGTAGGTACTTTTTTATAGTAGTCGCATCAGGCCTGGGATCAGTCTTCATGGCAAAATATACTGCTAATGCTGTCTGATCAATATGAGAGATTACAGTATTTGCAGCTTCAACAATTTCATCAAGTCTTTTCATTCGTTCCTAAAAGAAGAATTAAAAAAAATTGTGTTTAGCACTATGAAATGATGCTACTTGATTGCTGACTCCACTACCACTAGGATAACTGCAAAGGCATGCAGAAATAACATTAGATAATTCCACGTGTCCTTTTCTCCACTTTCTACAATTTTTGATTAAAAAAAACCTGTAAAATGCGGTGAGTATACGCAAAATGCAAAATTTCCAGAAAGAAAACCACCCTTCAGCACAAATTAACCCTCTTAAATAATGGTAGCAGTTATTAATTTCAGAAATAAATATAAAATCAGAATCAAATAAACAGAAAAATATCCAAGCTACTGACATATACACAAAGCTGTTTATCTTCAATATAAACAAAAAAGCAGACATATGTAAACTTTTCTGCTCACTGTTCTCATTTTTGAGGACAGGGATAGATGGTGGATTTAGCTGTGTCATTTCAAGGGGTTACTGTCCCCAGTTGTCTGAGCAATTCTGCCAGAAGAAATTACCAATCCAGTAGAGGAGCAGAGTGGGATGTGTGTTTGTTTCAGTAACCATCATTTAGAATAAAATTGTTGCAGCCTAAACTAGTAAGGAAACTTACAGTGTGTTTAATTTAACAAGGAGTAAATGATAAGCAAACACAGTAGAGGTAGGCAGATTTTCTTTCATTCTGCTGTGTGATTAAGTAAATCACAGTCAGTTAGGGATGCAGCTGTCAATCTAATTAGGAATTTCTGCTCTACAGCACTAAGTATAGCTCTGGCAGTCACTTCGAGACCAAACATGTATGAAGAAAGCTCCATTTGTTTAGGCCATATGCACGTATTGAGACAAATCAAGTTTAAAAAGCATTAAATAACCTTTTCAGAATCCAGCTGATGAAGTCTTGCAACATACAATGGAAGATGATTAGGAAACGCTTCTTTCAACTCATTATACACGTCAGTGGTATCCAGCCTAGAAGAGAGGAGGACATAGCATGAAAGTACAGATTCTGGATATTTTTTTTGTACAGATGCTTCAAGCTTATGTGGCCATGACAGCAGACATACTTGGTCATCCACTGTATTTTTAGATCTCTCAAAGCTTCAGCAAATTCTTCTTTTACATCTTTTTCTTTTTCCTGTTCTCTTTCTTTCTCTTTGCTGCCATTTTTACTCTTTGATGGTGACGGTATCAGATGATAGTGAACAGTAAGGACATCCTGGAGATGGGAAAAAACCCACATACTGAGAAGGATATAGTACACATTTTTCTGATGCTACATGAAAGCTAAATCCTAGCAAGCAACTACTCTGAGCTACACATACACTGAGTAAGGATTCTGAGAGCGAAGGCAATAATCATTAAGAATACAGGAACTGCTTTAACTTTTTATTTTAAGCAATGCAAGGATGTAAATATTAAAACAGTATACTGGGTGTAAGACAAGAAAGCCTAAAATTTAGCAAGTTTGACATTTTTGTATTCATATAATTTTACGTAATACTAGTTAGGGAATCAGAGGGGTGGGGTTTTTTTCTTAACTTGGTTAAAAGGCAAATGAAAAAAAAAAAAATCACTTAGAGAACCTATCCTACAAATCTGGCAAAAAACAAATGAATAAACATGACTGAATTCTAAAAAAATAATACCACAGTAGCATAAACATGAATCATGCCATAGGAGACACAATTTTATTCCTCCTGAGACAATACTTCTTCCATGTGTCTACTGAATTAGCTGATGCATCCAGTCAATTGTTTTCCAGTTTGCTGCTACAGACTTTCCAATTTCACCTCTATTTGTGCTCAGATTAAGTAGACACAACAGTAATATTTTTAAACCATATAAACTACCACAGAAATATCACTATAGTTTGAGTTCATGCTATACTAGTCAACAATTACCATGAGAAAATCAGCTACAGCTATTGAAAAGAAAAATCCTAACTGATTTTAGACTATGCTCTGAGGTCTGTTTCCTGAGATGATTTACATTTAAATTTGCAAATAAGCCAGCATGTGATTTCAGTCATTGCTTTTAAAACACTGCAATTGCTGAGGGAGGCTGTTTTGTTGGTTTTGGTTTTAATGTTGCAATTTTTAAAAAAGTCTCTCCCAAAACAGTGAGAGCACATGTCCTGTTATTTCAAATACAGGATATTTTGCAGAGAAGATTGCCTAAGTTTAAATCCTCTAGATACCATTACTCTATTGCAACACTGTGCAAAATACTGTGTCACATGCTCAATTGCTGTGGCAATTTAATTACTCATACTAATTATTCCAAAATGCATTTGTGGGAATATGTTTCCCACAAACTAGGTCAGTGTTGTGTAATGAAATTAACTTTTGTGCACAAGATGGAGTTGTTTCAGTTTACTTGGATAGCGAGTAAAAAGGTGAATGTCAGAAACTGCTGCACATAACCTTGAATAATGGACTTTCAACACTACACTTCTGAAACTATTCAAGAACATTGATGCAGAACATTTTTATTTGAACTAATAATAGTTCAAACAGACCAGTAGCTTGGTATGGGTTACTGAAAACAATACTGGTGAGAGAAAGTTATATCAATATTCCCTTAAAACATTTTTTCCAGATATTTAATATATAATCACGGACGAACCACAAAAATCAACATTTACATTTTTTTTTTTTAAACCTAGCATATACCACTAATCTACATTAAAGTGTAGCTTTTGCAGGAACCATTCTGCACACATGGATTTCAAGTATCAAGTGCATGACCAGGCAGTTCACCTAAATAAGGGTTCAGCAAGACCTAGGCCAGAGCATGACAAAACAGGTCATGGAGGCAAGCGCATGTAGCGGAGGATACAGAAGTCAGGAACAAGGTATGAGGCTGGCTAACATAACTAGAATGGCAGAAAGCACAACATGGTTCATTAAAGCAAACCAATAATTTTAAAATGCCTAAGAAGTCAGTTCAGTACAAAAATCTGAATCAGTATTTTGCAGCGTTTTCTGAAAGACTTCTTCTATTGAAACTAATCCTTTACTAAGAAACCTGCCTTCCTAGAAATATTCTTTTAATATTTCAGGATTTTCTTCTTGAAAGTCCACTCTTCAATCTTACTTGGCAACACATGTTTGGAGTTATGTATCTAATGGCCTCTGCTTTCTCAAGCCCTCCCTATATGAGGAGGCTCCACTACTCTGGTTTAAGTTTTAAACCAAGTGCAATTACATTAACAAAATCCCACTTATGTGGATGTTCACTTTCATTTAAGAGACTAATTCTATGTAGCTAAATCATCAACAGTAAAATGTCATCTACCTGTTCCCTCAGCTAGGTACTTTTGGTCTCTTGAGATTCTGCAAGCATTACAAGCTATGATCATTGAAAAGAAAACAATGAGCTTCAGACATAGTCATCCTCCTTTTTCAAAAGAGCTTACAGAAAAAGAGGCACACTTTTCTATACAGACATCACATTTTTAAATGGGATAAATAAGATTTAGGTGCTTATCATATTTAACTAAACTATCACAAGACCATAATATGGACTGAAGGCTTCTTTCTTTTCCCTACTGGTAACCCCCTAGACACCAGAAGACTCCAGAACGACACTGTCATTGCCATTACAGTAACATTAATCATTAGAGATAAAGTAGAGGAAAGGCAACTCTTCACAATTCAGTGGTTTATTCTATTTCCTTACTCAAATTTTAATTAAACTGTTCCACAGCAACAGAATTGCTAGAGTAGCATACTGGGTTTGATTTTATATATACACCTACAAAAAGATATAGAGCTATAGACAGAGAAAGGCAAGGAGTGAGAATGTTATCCATTAAAAAAAAAAAAAAAATTAAGGAAATGTTCAAATTAATGAGAAAGCTGCCCTTTGTTTATCCTCTAAAAAAACAAACCAAGCAATATTAAAAGCTTTGGAAGCATATAGGATATGCACTTTGGTCAACGTACTCTGTGCACAGTTTGACAAGCCTGAGTGAGTTTACTTTTAACTAGAAACACAAACTGCATACATAAACAAGCACAATGCCCTCAAAACAGTCACCTCTTAAAAGACCTTAATTAGAAGTTAATTTTGTTTCAAGATTAAAACTTAGATTTTTGTCTGATGATTCAATATCTGGTACTTTATGTGGAAAATACATATGAAGTATTCTTATTTGTACTTTAAAGCATTCGCAGCAAAACTAACCACAGAAAAAAGCTCCTTCAAGGAACCCATCCCTGGTCTGATTTTCCATATAATAAATACCATGCACATCCACACACCCACAGAGTTGAATGTGCATATGGAATTTTTACCTACTTTAAGATGCATACAATATGTGCAGTGTTGCTTGTATTTACAGAAATACTCTTACTTAATTGAAAATAAATTGAGTTTCTTGAAGTCACCAGCCAGGCTCACACAAAATTAAATCAGACATGTACTTCATCCTAATTTTGAAGGCTTCTTGATTAAACAGGGATAGCGTCTTAATGCTCAAATAAGTCATACTTCTAAAATTGACTTCACAATGTTATTTATTAATCTTCCGCTATGTCTTGGTTTTACTAGGATAAGAGCCCATTTTTTTCTTAGCTACAATAGCTGTGCTTTAGTTCCAGTGTGGGATTTGTTATGAGAAGAACGCTGATAAAAGTACCAATGTTATTAGTTGCTGCTGGAGCTCAAGGCCACCGTGTTTGGCTGGTTCACAGCTGCATTAGGACTGGGAGGGAGAAGCGCAGTGAATAGCAAACCCCAAACTGGCATTTGGATGTGTCAATGAGATATTCCATATCATGTCCTGTCATGTCAGTATATTAACCAGGGTTGACCAGAAACCGGGGGCATTCTCTCGGGGATCGCTCGGGCTCACTCTTCTGGGGTTTCGGGGCTGTCTCTGCTCCGGGATCGCTGGCTGGCACAGGCCGGGCATTGGTCAGCGGGTGGTGAGCAACTGCACTGTGCATCACTTAATTGTACATTCTGTTATTACTGTTATCATTATAATTATTATTTTATTTTAATTAGTAAATAGTTTTTATCTCAACCCCTGAGTTTCCTTGCCCTTTTCTTTCCAATTCTCTCCCCTACTCCCCGGGGAGGGTGGGAGAGGGAAGTGAGACAGCAGGCTGTGTTTGGCTGCAAGGCAAAGGAGTGAAACCACCTCACACTAGTACTGTCAATATCTGCATAATGCAGTTCTTGCTTCAAATTGGAGGAAAGGATGGCAGAGTAGGGAGAAAGATGTAGACATTTTCTATCACTTAGCTAGCTGCTACATATTGCTGCTCAAAAGCTGCATTATGTAAACAAGAAATGCTTCTTACAGACCAGAAAAAGTCAATTGACAAAAAGTCAAAGTTTATTCTGACTATGTTCACAACAAAACTTGGAGACAAGGGGAAAATAAAAGATCAGACTGTAACTGCATTACAAAAGTTAGGTTGGGAAAGAGGAAAGGTGCATAGAACCAATTTGTTTTTCACACAGTTGTTTAGCATGTGCCTCCCCATTAGACACCAAGAGCACTTCTAAGGTACATCGCCTTCCCAAGCCATGGGAGTAGGACACTCTCTACTTCAGCCGGGATCAGTTCAAAGGAAAAACGTAACTGAATTCTGAACTTCATACAAATCACAGGTTTGGTAGTCAGAAAAAAAAGGATTTTTTTTTTTTGTTAAGTCCAGAAATGCTGGAGATAGGAAGACATCAAGTAAAAACCCATGCCCAAGGGTTGTTTTGGGTTTTGTTTTGGGTTTGTTGTTTTTTTGGGTTTTTTTTTTTTTTTTAGATTAAGTTCCCCAGAATAGCTCTTCAAGCAGAAAATTATAATTAGGCATATGATTCTGCTGTAGTAAAACACAGACATCTGCTTATTCTGTGGAAAGAACCCACTGACATTTTTGTCCAGTTATAATAGAATTAACTATCTTCTTTGGAAGGTTTGGCTGCTGTTTCCTGGCATAACCTCAAATTTATTTCATGCAAAATAGAGAAGCTGTTGAATTATGGGCTGGATGAGCAGTCAGGTGGATTAAAACTTCCTGAATGGCCGGGCCCAGAGGGTGGTGATCAGCAGCCCACAGCTGGAGGCCAGTAACCAGAGGTGTACCCCAGGGGTCAATACCAGATCCAGTTCTGTTCAACATCTTCATTAATGATCTGGATGATGGGGCAAAGTACACCCTCAGCAAGTCTGCAGATGACACCAGCTGGGGAGGAGTGGCTGATGCAGCAGAAGGCTGTGCTGCCATCCAGAGGGACCTTAACAGACTGCAGAAATTGGTGGTCAGGAACCTCATGAAGTTTATCAAGGAGAACTGATGAAATCTTGCACCTGGAGGATAAACCTATGCAGTAGTATATGCTTGGGGCCACCCAGCTGGAAAGCAGCTTGGCAGGAAAGGACCTGGGTGCCCTGGTGGACACCAGGTTGAACATAAGCCAGCAATGTGCCTTGTGGCAAAGGGGGCTAATGGTGTCCTGCACTGCATTAGACATACTACCAGCCGGTCAAGGGAGGTAATCCTTCTCCTCTGCTCTGCACTGGTGAGGCCACACCTGGAGTGCTGCGTCCAGTTCTGGGCTCCTCAGTACCAGAGAGACATGGACATACTGGAGAGAGTCCAATGAAGGTCCATGAAGATGATGGGCTGGAACTTACCTCCTATGAGGAAAGGCTGAGAAAGCTGTGACCGTTCAGCCTAAAGAAGAAGAGGCATTTGCAGGGTGGAGGGGGAATCTCATCAATCTGTGTAAATGTCTGTAGGGGGGGTGTAAAGAGAAATCCAGACTCTTTTTAGTGGTGCACAGTGGCAGAACAAGAGCCAATGGCCACAAAGAGAAACACGGGAGGTTCCCTCTGGACATCATGAAATACTTTTTCACAGTGAGTGTGACTGAACAACAGGCACAGCTTGTCCAGGGAGGTTATGGAGTCTCCACCCTTGGCGATATACAAAAGCTGTTTGGGCATGGTCCTGGGACACTAGCTCTAGGTTGCCCTGCCTGAACTGATGGGGTTAGACCAGATGACCTCCAGAGGTCCCTTCCAGTCTCAGTCATTCTGTGAAAATAAAAGTACTTTCAAACAACCCGAAATGCCTACCCTGGATTGCTGGTAGTGCCATGCACACAGGTGCAAACTAACAAGTTCCCTCCCTCCTCAATGAAAAAAAAAACAAAACCCTAAACAACAAACCAACCCCAACAAACCCAAAACAAACAAAAAAAACCTCTCAAAACAAAACACCTCTCCCCCTTTTTTTAAAAAAAAAAAACAAAACCCACAACCCCTCCCCCAAAAAAAACCCAAACAAAAAACCCCAACTGTCTCCAAACTAGTCACTGGTATCAGAGCAAAAAAACACACACACACAAAAAACGTGACTTGTAAATTAACACTCCTAATCCTACAAGAGGCAGCTTGGACTTGTCTGTGAAATATATGAAAAAAGTCTAAACAGACCTTTTTGACTGATTGGGTCACAAAAGAAATATACAAACATGTTTTCTGTGCTGGAAAACATCTTAACCACACGTAAACTTACAACAGGGCGGGGTAAATATTAAAAACTTGGAAACTAGGAAGCCCTCAGAGCTGCATTCTCAGAAAAATATATTAATTAATGGAGCTCTTGTGAATCAATGCTCTGAAATACACTGTGTTTTATTTATTTGCTACTAGTACACTGATGCCTCTTATGAATAATGGGTGGAAGTATCAAGAACAGTTTTTATTTTGGCTTGGGTGGGTATACTGCTCAGGTCTGAACACAAATCTGTTCTAAAAACAAAAGAAAAAACAGAACATGCAACCTCTTGGATCCATTTAATAGGTTTTGTTATGCAAATTAAATTATGATTAGAGTTTAACTCCCTTGTTAGAGACCCACTTAGTAAAGATTTTATACCTTATTCATCAGGCAGCCGCACATTCACATGAGATTTTAAATCATCTTTCTAATAGTGCTCTGCATAATTTTCAGATGCAGTATGAAAATAAAATGGCAGCAACACATATTAAAACTCGAAGGCTCAGTTACCAGCTCACTGTTAACAAAGTAACAGATTACAGCAATAAACTGTGTTATTCATGATTCTCACATCTTATTTTTAACAAGAATCCTGACTAATTTACATGTCACTCCAGAACACAGTGCCTTGAAAACAGAAGAATGTTAATAGCCTTACAACTTAAGAGAACAAAAGAAGAAAAAAACTCTTATAAAGGTAGCCTATTAAAATAGTTCTTTGGCTTTTTTAAAGACTGTTTCAGTGTCTGGCTGCCAACAGAATATTGTTTTACCAAACGTAAATACATGAGAACGCACAATATTAAACACTGCTATGTTAGAAGCCACTCACTCTCTACCTGAAATATTTTATACATGCTCCAAATTTTTTTTGTAAATTCTACTACCTGCTACATCATAGTATAAACTCTAGCCCATAACAAGTCATATTTAATTTGAGCAGGATCATGAATTGAGAGACTTTTCAATCAAGTCCATCCCTCCTAAAAAAACCCTGCTTGCCACAATATGGTTTTTATGACTGTAATGAGCCAGCTCTCAATTCAGAAGACTTGGTATACAGTTCTACATCAAAATGTTAGGTTTATATCCAGTTCTCAATCTGCAGACAGAATAGAATAGGCAGAAACACTCGCCACAGATGATCTTGACCACAAACACTTAAGATTCCTGAGTATTTAATAAAAAGAAAAATTACAGACCACTCATCACCACATGCATTTTTACAGCACTTATTCCAGAAGCATCCAGATGCTCATGTGCCACTCAGCTTTGTATTAGAGAAGTGTTTTGTCATTCTAACAGTAGACATACTTAAGGTGTTGAAGTAAATAACTCAGGACTAAGGAGGCAGATGAGGGAGACAAATTAAAAACCAGTACTGGTAGACAAATGCTTTAAGTCATATGCAAAAAGACTTAAGTATATCTTTTTCAAAAACTAACATTCAGTACCTTTTTAAATTTTCCTTGTCGCTTTGCTGCAGACTGCCCCTGGGAGTTAGAATAACATACTGTAAGAAAACATGCACACACCACACAGGATGGAGACACCTTCTCTGTACAATTACGGTTATACCTTCAGCCTAAAGATTTTTAAACTTTTAGAGTCACATCTATGGTGAAACATGCTCTTAAAGCATGCTCTTTCAGGTTTTTAAAATTAATAAAACAATGCATTATTACATATACAGTCCATTATTCCCGTAAGACAAGCAAGTGTTGTTAACCACTTAGCTTAAAGTAATAAATTACAGAAATTCAGCCTCAAAAGTAAAGATTTTGGATTTTGACTGTTTAGTAGCATTGTTGTATTTCATAGTAAATATACAGAAATTAGATACATTTTCCCTCACATTGCATCCACAATTTTGCTGCCTAGTCCTCCTTTTTTTGTCTCCTAGTACATATTGAGGTTCACTAAAGGCAGCAGAAAGTATCTGATGCTATTTGATACCATCCTTTTTTCAGTGAAATATGACTAAAACAGTAGTGCCTTGGACTATCATATGAGACACACCTCAGCTAGAATTTCTCTCCATGTAAGAGTACTCTTAAGTATTCTTTATCACATGAAATCAGACAGGCAATATCTACCTAACTCTTACTTCCCATCCCAGAAATCACTGCATATAACCACTCAGTCTGATTTTAAAAATAAGATAGACAAGAATTACAGCCAATAGTTCAAGGAAGTGCAAAATTCCGGTTAGGGAAACTATACTACACTACTGTAATAGATTTACCATGGATTTCATACCAGTATAGTTGCAACCTTGCAGGAATCACAAAGAAATATAGAAGTATCTAGAGTTCTTAGTTACTGGGTTTTTCCTCATTGATACATAAATTCTCCTGAGAGACATTATCTAACCTGCAGTTACATGCAATCTGCCCCAAAAGTACTACCTACAACCAAATCAGGTTGAATGAACTAAACTTTTCTACTCAACAAGATCTAAAGGTATCTGCTCACCTACTCACAGAAACCCATTTTCTACAAAAACATACTTACTTTAGTTTTATAAAAGTTGTTCAGCCACATCTAGTGATATATGGACATAGATCAACTACCTCTAAATACTAACAATCACCAGGACTGATTCAAATTTATTCTCAGCTTTGCCATCTATTTAAAAATAGCTAAGGGAATCTTCTAAATACCTTAGCACCAGACACACACGAGAGTGATCTGGTTACTGTAATCACTGTTGCACTACAGATTCATGGAAGTTACAAAACAGTTTTTACAGGATGCTGCACTATGAGCAAAAAAACCCTACAGCTTTTTTCTACCATCATATACAGAGATCTTACATTATTCTGTTGGAGCATACAGTTACATTAGTGGTTGACAACATCAGTGTGCAGCAGGTAAAAGTATATGCTTATGCCTTTGAGTGAGCAAAATTCCTGCTACTTTGGAATAGTAACATGTAGGTGTTAAGAAAGCATGTACTTTCACTGAAAACTGTATGCATGCAAAGAAGAGTACAGCTGTTCACTGGAGAACCAACATGCACAAAACATAATATATATGCACATATTTTACATTCAAAAATAATACTATGCCAGGCAATTAAACAAAATCACTTTTAAAGTCTGCCACAAACAAAAAAGCAGTAGCTTCTAGAAATAAAAGGATTCAGAGTGAAAGAACTAGAATTCAAAATTTAGAAAATGCAATGGAATCTGAAATTATAAAATGAAAATAAAAATAGAACTACTTAGAAGTTACTCTGACTTCATAATGAAACAATTGCTTCTAAAATACGTTACGTTAATAAACCTCGTGCTCTTTGAAGTACTAAAACCATGAAATACAGCACTTCCTGGAATGCCATTTACTTGCTTCAAAAGGTTCAGAAAAATAAGCCGCCATCCATTTCGAATACTCACAGCTTTCTTTCCAAGTTCTGTTTTAGACAGTGTAAGAGCTCCTGCAAGATAACATCCTGGTCCTGCTCCTTTAGGTATTCTATTCAAAGAAAGAAAGTTCAGTGTTAAAACAAGCTTCATTAATGTTCCCTGGGGACTACAATAAAGAACCAAAACAGTGAAAGAGCAACACAAGAGGAATTACCGAGCCTGAACAGGTAGACACTATCAAAGTAGCACTTTGGTTAGGTGTGGAAGCAGCTGGTTAGATGTAGATGAGAAAAACAGGACTTCGGTAACTTACTTGTCATCAGGCAGAGATGTAACAAAGAATGGCTGACTGTGTTTTGGTGGTAAAGTCAAACTGTTGGATTTCTTCTTCCCTAAGAGAGCAAGGCTATGGTTTTCATAAATATCTAAGCTCAAGGTACTAGACAACCTGTGAGAAACAATAAATGGAAGGTCTTTGATGCGATCCAGCTCACTGTTCTGTTCGTGACGAATTTGTAACCGAATAGTGTAATCTCCTTTTTCCAGTTTCACAGAATACTGAAAGAAAGAAGTTCTCATAAATGTCAAGATTAAATACCTCATCACTAACAAAGAAACCCAAAAATAATACTGTCATGTTCTTCTTGATCCATAAAACCTCTAGCCATTTAAAATATGCTAGATTGCTTGGTTTTGTAATCTCCTGAAAACAGTGTGCTTTCAAGACTTGCTAGCAGCCAAAACACATTTTGGACTGACTAGAAAAAAAAATTAAGTTTTCAGACCACAAAATAGGCTGACATCATTTGTTCCTATTCTAACACCGTATTAACTGCGCAAATAATAATCAGAATCCTTGCTAAACTTTCAGTTCAAAATCTCTAGCAGGCTTGCTTTGATACATTTTCAGTTCACTGTGTAACTTTGGGTGCTCTGTGGTTCAGTTCACAGAACATCTTCTACTGTCTCAAACCCTGTACCAGCTTTGACACTGAGCAACCCAGTATTCCTGTGAGACTTAAGGCTGCAGTTTAAAGAGCTGACAGACTCTAAAGTTTTTAATTCATTCAGTTAGGAATATGCAGATAATATCATCTCCATTTATTACAAAATCAACCCTGTCCCCACAAAAAAAAACCCCAAACACACAGCAAAACCCCCTCGACTCTCAAATTCTTAGTACTGGAAACATTCTTTCATTTCTATCAACCTAAAAGGGCACCATGTGGATTTTCTCAGGCAGCAGCATGCCAAGTTTCCTTTCTGCTGCTGCTGCTGCAGCTATAACACAAAAGGCAGCCCTAAGCAGAAAGGGACAACTATTCAGAACTACCCTGCTTCCAGAATCTCCCTCTCCTGGGTTAGGGAGTTGTGCTTCCTGTTGGTATTTCTTCCTGGATTAAATAATTTGGAATTGCTTTAGAATTGTTCTATGATGCACAACACCAGAGATTAACAGCATGGTGGTCCATCAGGTATAAGTAACAGACTATTTTGGTGATTTTTTAGATTTCATAGCACCTTAAAAATGGAGGTTAAGGAACAGAATTTTAAATAATGCAATTTCTGCAATTCATTTATAAGATTCAAAAGATATAGTTTAAAGTTGATCATTTGTGTACTGACAGAATGATCACTCTATTAAAATAAACATTACATTGAAAAAGTTCAACTGTGATTTTGGATTGGTAAAAATAGTTTCAAAATCAAAAATATGGAAAAATGTTTCTCTTATGCTTTTTTCTTTTTTTACCCTCCTCCTCCACACCCCCATGATCCAGACACACAGTATATTCCAGCAGAAAGAGATTCCCACAGAGGGTGCAGTATCTACAAGTCCTGTGCAAAAAAGCTCCCTTTGAAAGACAGTAACAGGAAGTAAACCATGCTATAGCATTTAAAAGGCTGTTTGAAGACATCAAAAGCACAGAAGACAGCCTTCACGGACACAGAAGACTACAGAAAAAATAATGAATCCTTTCCACCTTAAATAGAAAAGTTCAAGGTATCATCTTTGTAAAAACCCAAACATAAAGAAGAAATTTAATTCACTTCTTGAGAAGCACCAGTCAAAATCATAAGAAATTACAAGTTAACAGCTTTTTGTAGAAATAAAATGCCCTGTAACTCTTTCTCCTTCCTTGGAAGAGAAAAAAAACCCCATAATGTTCTATGTCATAGAAACAAACCTGTCAATCATTACTTTTTAATATAAATATATCACCATTAAACGTGTCCCCTTGTGAAGATATGAGAACATTATACCTACGCATCAGGAAATGTTAGGAGCTAACAAGAAGGTCTGGGAGGTGAAAAAGAATGACAATTTTCACACTGTGCAGAAAACAGAAGGTAAAATAAATACATTACTCCGTACCTGGTGTGGATAGGCATCTCCTGAGCCCATTTGTCTTTTGTTCTGGTCAAAAATAATCCACAGTTGACTATCAAATTCAGATTCGTACAACAATTCACAAAGAAGTGGACAGCTTGGAGTTACTTCTCCGCTCTTAGGCTATTAAAAGAAAGGTCAAAACATTTAATCCACTATTGAATAAAACAAGTACAATCCTTACACACATATTCAAAATGATACCTGCCCATTTCAAGCAACAGCAGCTCCTACAGAGAACCAGACCAGAATTTTGACCATAGAGAGTCTATAGTGTCAGTCTAGGCTTCGCTTCTGACAGAAAGCTAGTTAAAGTCTGCTTTTAGAAAACATGATGTACTTATTAATGAGTTATTAAAAAACCAACCACCCATAACTCTTACCTGATGGAAGTTATAGGTCAAAATCATCTCATACAGTTGACGATTATTTGGTAAAATATCTCTGGAGCCCAAAGGTTTTATTTTTGCACTCACTGGTCTGCAGTTAACAAAAAACAACAGAAGGTACTCTTAAGAAATATGTATCCTCTAGTAAAATTGTCTTGCTTAAGCAGAAGCATATTCTGAAATACAACTGAATTCAGCACAGGCAACAACATCTCTTAAAATATTGTAACTATCCAAGCAGCATAAATTCCTCAGTTAAAATGAATATCAGTTCAAAAACACGGTTTAGTGACATTACAGATAATGCCAAAGACAGAACTCAGCAAGGACATCTAAATGCTCTAAAATTAAAGGCTATAAAAAAAAAAAAAAAAAAAAAAAGGAAATCCAACAAACTTCAGGATTTGAAAAAAAATAAAATCAGATTACTTCTCTAGTATCCATGTTGCAATCAGCACTTTTATTAATAGATGGAAAGATTAACAACACATAATTCAAGGACAGAATAAATAGTTAATAATTCTTTGTTACAGAAGGTTATATCAGAGGATAACTTGTAAGAGCCCTTATAAAAATCAAGAGTAGTAACACAGAAGAATGTTAACATACATTATCTGTGTAGGGTATGTTAACTCAGATACAACAGCTTGTCCTAACTGTTCAGAGCAGCACAAACACTTTAGACATTAATTAATAAAAAATACAGGCTAAATAATAATGATATAGGGAAATCAGAGCTTCAGAAATAAACAGCAGAACAAGGGTGGCCTGGCACCATTTAAGCTTACGTTTCTCCCATACATTCTGGCAACCTTTAATCACATGGTTGAAATTTTTCTGTAAGATCCTGTCAGTTCTTTTATTGCCAAGAGCACAGACTAGTCACCCAGTAAAATATCTGTGCTGAGTCAGACCACAGGTCCATTTAACCCAGGTTTCCTAGTCTGGCAGACAAGAGAGAGACTGCTGACAGGAGACTTAAGAACAGAGTAATACCACACATGCTATGCCTCCCTAATACTCACCCTGCCTCCAAGCATTTGAAACTCAAGAGGCTGAATGAGAAGCCATTCAGTACTTTTTTTTCTTTTTTTTTTTTCCTCTCTGTTATGACTTACTACCTCATTCAAGAGACACTATCCATACCTTAATTTAAACACATAGTTCCCATTGGTTTTCTTAACTGCAGTTCGTTTACTGTCAGATGAGTACCCCAAATATCACAAGGAGATAAGGGCACCTCCATTTGACAAACCAAGAATGAGGCAAAGACGTATGAGGGGATTATTTGCCTTCCTCACTTAAGGCGTATCAGATTGGGTATTTCTGAATCTAACATTCGGTGGTGTGTTCATTAAACATCAAACTCCTAGTGACCTCAACTTCAGGTACAAGTATCCAAAAGGCCCACACTGAGCCCAAGATCTCCACTGAGAAGCCCAAACAATGGAAAACTTTGGATTTCTGACCACTGTGAAATTGTCTGGCCCAAGTCTTAAAAGTACTGCTTAAACAGTACGGCATTTCTTTTTGCTCCTGAAGTAACCAACTTTATTAACTGCTGCACTGGTTAGGAATTTTCCAACAAAGCTTCTCCTTCAAATCAGCATGTGTCAAACTGATAACAATATAAACACAGCTTTCCACACACAGTTCTGCACCACATCCTACAAAACCACTTCCAATTAAGCAAGAGAGAGAAGACAGTCTTCCCAGGTCAAAATTGGGCAGGATCTGAAGCAGCTGCTTAAAAACCCCCCAAAACAACAGTAGCACCAAGTAACTCTACAATTTGTTTCTTTAGATATTAAAGTGTCATTTACCTCTAAGTGTCTCCCTCAGAAACAATGGAATATTTTCTTCTATTTTTTTTTTTTTAAATTAGCTTAAGGTAAGTAATTTGTATGGAAAAAGTCACCATAATTCTCAAATTTTATAAAAGTTAAAAGGAACCAAAAAGGACAATGCTGAGAAATGTTATTAATTTTGATGCTTCCAAACCTACTTAAAATTTGACAAGAATATTGTTGTTATCCTAAACTTCATTGTTAACTTGTTACTGTTTTAACTACATACTGATATTCTTCCCACTAACAGAGTTCCCAAAAAACTCTACCTGAGCGTTTGAACCCAGCTTTTCAGATTTATGCATGGAGCAATATCTTCATACTTCAACATGGACTGAACATCAAATCGTACGATGCCTTCCGAAGCGTGCTAAAGGAAAGAGCACATAACAATTATGCTTCCGTGCACTCAAAACGTCAGATGAGGACCATCTGATACGTCCTTCAAAAGTACAAGGCAAGCTGTATTTATCTATACTGTAAGAAGTAATACTGCATGAGTTTGAAGGTGTCACAAGCTTATCTCTATTTTACAGCAGCAGATATACTGGGACTTGCAAAACTTCAGCAATCAGAACTAAAGTCTTATTTTTTCCCCCCTCAATAATAAAAGTACTTTGTACAGAACTGCACAAGTCACACTTTGGGCAGGGCCGGGCTTTGTTTGTGCATTTGTGATGATTTCCTTTGAATATGTAATTCAATAAATACCAGTATTATTCATCTAGAATCATAAAATAAGTATTTTTATGGTGCTTCTGCTTAGGATTACTATTACAGAATAGCTTAACTTTGTGAAAAAGAAACAATGCTACATATGCAGGCTAGTGATGGGCAAAATCGTTGAAAAATTACTTTTCTAGCAGTATCCCATGACAAGGCCTCCAGCATATCAGCACTATTAAAATTTATTTTATGAAAATTGCAGGTGCTTAAGAAGAAAGGGCAAATCTGTTTGTATTCTCTCATTTCCAACTCTCCCATTATTCAGCTGAGGTAATCCTGGCGGGGTGGGAAGAGCTGCTGTGCACACCAGCACCAGCTCTTCCTTTTCCTGGTTTGAGGAGGAAGGAAAAGAGCACCAGCTCTTCCTTTTCCTTTCTACTGGTTTGAGACCTGGCACCTTAGTGCAATGCATCCACTTCTTTTTCTCCAGTTTATTCACCTCTTAGAGCCTGAATACATCAAAATTAACCTGTGGGACAGCTATAATTTGCTCTGGTCCTTAGCTGGAAAAAAGGGAGGAGCCAGGATAAATTAGCACGGTGCTGTTCTGCGCAAGTATTGCCATCTCAGCTCTCAAAGACATCTCTCTCCTGAGGGAGGCAAAGTCAAGCCAAGCCAGGTTGCACAGGACAGCAAATAACACAGGAGCAGGACAAAGTAGTGTAAATATTATAATACTAAATTTTTTGTAATTTTTTTTCAATCCTTTAGTATCAGAGAGCCTTGGGAATCACGACACTGCCCATTCACTGTGCCTTCAACTGCCCCAAACAATGAACGTCAAGCCAAATGGCAGATCTCAATAAAACACTGAACAGAAAATAACTTTTAATGAAATTTTATTCTGAAAATGGTATTCGAAGTATTGTATTTTAGCAACTATAGTCTAAATTAATTTCAAGTTCAAGAACTGTAGTCCCAGCAAACTTTATTCATATAAACACTTGCTAGTGTAAATATAGTTAAAATTTCAGCCTTATAGTATGTCCTTTCTGTTGGTATTGGGTTTGGGGGTTTTTTGGGGGGGGGTTTGTATTTTTTCCTTTCTATTTTCCCTACTGATTTATAATAAAAAGGCATACAAAAAGATCATAAATAATGGTAATGGGCATTTCTGTGGGACTGAACTCCTATTTACCTATTCTTAAAAAGAAAACATGAACATTTTTACATGAGATGTAAAGATACTTTTAGTCTCTCTAAATACAGGCAAGAATGAAGAAAAACTTTTTTTATTCTGATATACCATAGGACTTCAGAATAATACAAAATAAACACTCTGGAAAACTCACCATGCTTAGCTGAGGAGTAGCACAAAGTACACCATGGAAAGAAATTGTGTAATTAATGCTAACATCGCTAAGGCTTGCCCACCACCGAGCAACACAAAATTCAATGGTTTTTCCAGCCTGGGTAACAAAAGCACAAAGTTAGACTGAAGCTCCCATCTTCCCCGTCTATTCACCCCAGCCTCCCTCATTCCAAGCCAAAAAAACTGAAGTATAGCTCAAAAAAAGACCCTGTTACATCCTGCTTAGTCCAATTGTATAAGTTTGTACAGTACCAAATAAGACAATATACTTGGTCCAGAAAATACAAGACAGCTCCAACAAATATGATGACTGATAACCACATCAAAACAAAGAGTGCCAGGGGTACCCCCTACAGAGAAAGGTATGGCTTTTAAATATTGCATCTTCCTTTCCTATCCTTCAAACCATGCAGTCAGGTTAGTTTGCAGGTGAGTTTAATATGTGCCCTAAAAAATGCATATTAGAAAACGAGATCCCACGCTCTGCCTACATAACATGACAATAAGTTTGAGAGATTTGGAGTTTTTTTGTTGTTGCTTGGTTGCTTTTGTTGTTGTTATTTAGTTTTGGTTTTGTTTTTTTTAACTAACATGATAAAATTCACAATGTGTCAGTGGGACAAACTTAGGTTAGGGTCCCTCATCTCACATTTTCAGAGAGGGTAAGGGACTGAATAGCACAAAAATCTTAGGCTTTAGAGCTATACAAATAAATTAAGGCAGGGGACAAACTTGAGAAGTGGACTCTAGTATCCAGACCCCTGAACTTTTATCCCACTCCCTGGTTCTGTTTTGGACTCTTGAGCTAGCATTATCCATGCTAAGCCTGCTGTATCTAAGCAGCATGAATGCAAGCCAGTCAGTATCACCTGGCTTCAACATCAAGGAGATGTTCCACATTACCATATTAAGCACTAAAACTACATGTATCCAACAAACAAACTGGTTTGTATAAACAAGTACCAACAAACTGAAGAGATTAACAAGTATTATAAGGGTAATACCAAATGATTAAGAACCACTAGCAAGCTCTTAGAGATCTTTTCAAAACTGAGAACCAGATGCATTCACTACTGAAGCAAATGTATGATTTCTTGGGTTTGGAGTTTTTCTTTAGAAAAAAATTCCTGAATGAGTTATGTTATACTGCACTAACATATTGCTTGCTTTCTCTTCCCCCACGCCATCCTGAGTTAACTTACTAAGACAGGAAATGCTTCAGTCACTGATCCTTTTTCTGGTAAGGATGAAAACTTGTAGAACTCATGACTTCTATATGCTTTTTGTTTCACTAGCTGAACAGCATGAAGTACAAACTTGGCAGTCACATCAGCTGAACATGAACTTACTGTCACTTCTAGATTTAAGAAAAAAAATTAAGTTTAGTTTCAAGAGCCAAGGACTTTAGATGGAAAGCAGAGATTCACTAGAAAAAGATTAGCTTCACAGGTAATTTGTAATTTAAGAAGCTACACAATACCCCAACTGGTTCCATATGTGAATAATGCTTACATATGAGTAATTTACAAATGCCTTTTCAGATTAAGGAAAACTAGCTAAATTCAAAGATCAGTTAAGAGAAACGTGACAACTAAATGGTGAAAATTAATCAGATAGTACAAATGTATAATCTGTACAGGTCAGACTGCTGCTGAATCACAAATTAAGGGTCTTATCACTAACTTCAGTCTAAAAGAAACATTCTTGAAGGGATTAATTATTCATCTCCCATAGGAAGACAAGGAAAAAAAAAGATTTTTTTACCTCTTTGCAGAATTATGCCCATTATGAAAATCACATTTTCTTCAGTTAAGACATCTTTCAACACTACACCCATACACCTTAAAAACTAGGCAAACCTCAGACTTCCAAACCCAAAAGTTTATGGGATACTGTTCCATAAATACGGAATATTCTTCCAGTTATGGCAATCACCTCAGATGGTATTTGCTGGTTTTTAGAAGACTGAGAGTCAGGATTCTACTATACCAGAAGCCATGAGATAACTCAAAATCACTCCTCTAAGAGCTTAGAATCAAATAAATATTTTACGTGTTCATGGGTTGAATCCTTCAGTTCTTCTTAAGGCAGAACACAAAATTATTTCAAAACAACTTTGTCAGGTCTGACAAATGCAACTTTTCTATTTAATTCATGTGCTTATTTTCCTTACCAGCCCACGTAGCTCCCTGTGGAACATCAATGAAGTGCCTTCGGATTTGACCGGGTTTAAAATGAACATCTGTATATGTCAGGTCATAGCTTGATGATTCATCTACTCTGTATGTCAAAAAGAAAACACAAACACTAATCAAACAAGCTGTGAAGGCCTTTTTTTTTCCTAAGTATTTTTAAATGCAAAAATACTCTCAAAAGAAAGTATACAATGAGGATACTCAGTCCTTAGCACCAGTTATTTTAATTTACAAGATTTAAAACATCAGCTCTACCATGTTATGCGGACACCCTCCCTACCTCCCTGAAGTTACTGTGCTTAAACATAAGTCTCAAATAATCCCAGTTTTCAGTGGATCTGTTTTTCCAGCTGAGTGACTTTCCCCTAGTGTGAGCTAAGGTATATAAGAAGTACAATTTCTATGACTGAGAGAAAAGTGTCATTTTTTCCTCAAGGCAGATTTTCCATTGAATAGGTTTAATAAGATAGGACTTCAGTGATGTTGGTAAGGAAGGAGAGTATGTTTAAATCAATTATGAGCATAATATTAACTCCCTAAATTCACTGTATTAAGGTCATGATGGAAGCTTATCCCAATGTTCACCTGTCAAATAATGCCCCCCTGCCTTTATGTACTCTAGTCCACCAGTTAGAAAATAAAAAAAAAGCCAGCTTGCAGTTTACCTACACCTATGAGTATATTGACTGATATCTTGGTCAACAAGCCAGAAGTCATCTCTATTCCGATGGATGAGGAAGCTGCTACCACTGTGGCCAAGCCCATCAGAACACACTACCTTTTGTCTCCCAGAACCAAAACTACAAAAAAGCCACTGCTGTGTAAATCTGCTGTGAGAATCTTTCCAGATCTCTGCTCCCTTATCAATGTTAGCAGTAAGTTCAAGGACACCCAGAGAAAGGTGGTGATGAAATAAATGTAAAAGTAAAGTGGGTACGGAAACTAAACTTAAAAAATGCAGCTAAAGGCTGGGTTTACTGACCTTGTTGGTATAACCACAGTTATTGGAACTCTGAAGAGAGGGCCTGCATTAGGCATTGCTATATCATATCCACACACCTAGCAAAATAAAATATAGCCACCTAAAAACTTTGGTCAAAATGAAATGACAGAAGATAATATTAAACTAAAGTTAGTTGCGAAATACTTTGAATCTTTGTAACTATCACTGAGAAAAAGAGATCTTCATTTGACCTCTGTCACCCCAGAAATAGCAAAACAGCAACATTCACCAAGAAAAAGATAATTAGTTTTCACACTTATACTTATTTCAGTCTTTCCCCAGAAGTTTACAAGCTTGCAACCCACATTTGATTGTCCCTGTATCAAAAGCTCAACCTACTTTCAACTCAAAATAATAAGGTTGATTGGGAAAAATTTTATTTCAGCCATTTTTGTTGCTGTATTAAAAATATTGTAACCCTTGTTTTCCAGGATTATGTTTGAGAAAATACAGTTCAATTTACCATGTCTTTCATAGCCAAGCTTTAAATATTATCTCTGAAAATTTGTTCCATCATCACTTCGCTAAAACGTTCTCAGTGGTACCATAGAAGACTTGCAACTCTAAGTATCTTAAGAAGTGACTTCTAAAAAGCAAGCTTATATCAACTTCATTATGATCGAGGACAACACAACGGAAATATTCTAATGTTAATCTAAGGTTTGGGATGACAATGGAGATAGCTGAAAAATATTTTTTGTTGGTGGTTTTCCTTTGCAGGAGTGAAAGAGGATGGTTAGAAAAGAAAATGAGAAACCTAATGGCTTTCATATTAAATTTGTCCAAATTTCAATGTAGCCGCTCAAAGTCAGCAATATCCTTCTGCTATAAATAGTCATTAGCACACATTTTTCTCCTTCACCTTCCAAAATGGGATGGGGTAGAGGTGAGGAAACAACAGAATAGGTTGTATCACTGTACCTAAGCAAATCCTCAAGGTAAAGCAAAATCTTTGGTCCATATAAAACTGCATGGCAAGACCACAAAAGCTAGGCCAGTCCTTAAGCCACCACAGAGAGAAATGTCTCAGACCTCATAAGAACACAAATCTCTATCCTTAATAATAATACAGAACTGAGACAGACAGTCAAAGGTAAAAATATATCCAGAGAAAAAAACCTTAATGAAACATCATTTACTTGGTTTATATTTTTATAAGCTTTTACTTTTTAAACACAGATACTCAAAGTCCCATTGGCATGTGCTATACAACACTTCATAGTATAACTATTGCTGAATCCTGGATTCAGACTGTATAGTGGAGTGGGGCAGTATTTTCTTGTCCATACAGCCTACAGCTTTTACTTCCTTAAGAATTACATCTATGAAAAGTTGACAGAGACCACATGAAAAGGGAAGGGCACACGATCTTGCTGAAAACACCAATACTCCAATACCTCTGTATAATGCAGTCCTTCTCTCAGGCCACGTGGATCCACACGGATATTTATGTGTCGACACTGGTTCATAAGCTCTAAATGAGTGGGACACTGGACCCACGTCGCATTGGAAGTTAAAGCTAAATGAAGCTGGAGAGATATTCTTTCAGTGTTTTCTGTCAAGAAACAAAGTTAAAAAACAGGTCAGTAACACAAATGTGTGCATGTATTCTACTATAAGACAGTATGACTGCCTGAGTAGACGAGGGGAGAGCAGTGGATGTTGTCTGCCTTGACTTCAGCAAGACTTTCGACACTGCCTCCCACTACAATCTCCTAAGTAAGCTCAGGAAGAGTGGGTTAGATGAGGGGACAGTGCGGTGGATCGAGAACTGGCTGAACAGCAGGGCTCAGCCACGCAGAGTCTAGCTGGAAGCCTGTAGCTAGTGATGTTTCCCAGGGGTCAGTCCTAGGTCCACCCTTGTTCAACATATTCATCAATGACCAGGATGAAGGGACAGAGGGCACCCTCAGCCATTTTGCTGAAGATACAGAGTTGGGAAGAGTGCTTGATACAGCAGAAGGCTGTGCAGCCATTCAACAAGATCTGGACAGGCTGGATGGAGAAGAACCTAATGAAGTTCAACAAAGACAAATGTAGAGTCCTGCACCTCGGGAAGAACAAGTCCATGCAACAGTACAGGTTGGGGGTTGACCTGCTGGAAAGCAGCTCTGGGGAGAAGGACCTGGGAGTCCTGGTGGACAACATGAGCCAGCAATGTGCCCTCATGTCCAAGAAGGCCAATGGCATCCTGGGATGCATTAAAAAGTGTGGCCAGCAGGTCAAGGGAAGCTATCTTCCCTCTCTACTGCACCCTAGTGAGGCCACATCTGGAGTACTCTGTCCAGTTGTGGGTTCGTCAGCCCAAGAAATATCAGGAACTACTGGAGAAAGTCCAGTGGAGGGCTACAAAGATGATCAGGAGACTGGATCATCTCTCTTATGAGGAAAGGCTGAGAGAACTGGGTTTGTTTAGCCTGGAGAAAAAGAGACTGAGAGGGGATCTTATCAATGCTTATAAATATCTGAAGGGCAGGTGTTGAGAGGATGGGGCCAGACTCTTTTCAGTGGTGGCCAGCAATAGGGCAAGGGGCAACAGGCACAAACTGGAACACAGGAGCTTCCATCTGAAGATGAGGAAAACTTATTTTGAGGGTGCCAGAGCACTGGGACAGGCTGCCCAGAGAGGTTGTGGAGTCTCCTTCTCTGGGGATACTCAGAACCCACCCGGATGCAGTCCTGTGCAACCTGCTCTAGATGTACCTGCTTTGGCAGGTTGGAGTAAGATGATCTCCAGAGGTCCCTTCCAATCCCTACCATTCTGTGATTCTGTATTTGCCATTAAAATGCACAATAAAATGTAATAGAAACTAATTCCTTAGGAGTCCCTGGATGTCAGATTCTCCACAGAGGACAGTGTTGTATACTATTTCTTTTAACTTGGAAAAAAAAGGAGCAGTGTACAGTAAAATAAAGGTTGTAGTCAACCTGGAAGATTTCCTCACTGAAACACTCAAACCTGACAAAGTCAAAGGTAAGCTAGTAAGCAACGCTTCAATTGTCCACAACGTAGTCTGGAAGCAGGTATAAACTTTCTTGTATAAATACAAAATCTTGCCTAATGCAGAGAAATCCAATAAAAAGCTATTGCACTGATTCTGAAGCTTATCTATTCACCCCAGCCTCCTTCGTTCCAAGCCAAAAAATTGAATTATAGCTCAAAAAAGACCCTGTTACATCCTGTTTAGTCCAATTGTATAGGTTAGTACAGTACCAAATAAGACAACATACTTGGTTCAGAAAATACAAGACAGCTCCAACAAATATGATGACTGATAACCACATCAAAACAAAGAGTGCCAGGGGTACCCCCTACAGAGAAAGGTATGGCTTTTAAATATTGCTAGGGATATTTGATTATTTTTCCACGTTCTTCTCTGGCCCTTCAACTTTGCTTTAAATTTCTTTGGAAAAAAGAGAGATCCCTTTTTGCAGTGAGAGGAAGCATGAAGCAACAGACTCCCCCAAAACATGGAAGTGCTGTAGTTATAAGTCTCAGGTTAGAGTGGAAAAGTTGTTTAGCTGCATACCTTCACTTATCATGGAATTTAGAGTTGCACTTACTCCTTTTACAGTACAGATGCCTACCACTCCTCATTATCACAGCTTTTTTGTTTAAAGATTACACTTTATTTCCCTCTCCTCTCCCCCTCCACACCCCTGCATGCAAAAGCCTTTTTCTACCTGTATTCTCAGGAAAGACAGGTTCTATGCCAACCCCATGATCAGAAGGTGCCGCTATCTGGACAGGATCTCTGAGGTAGATGCCACGGTTGCTGCCGACAGTAACTGTAAAGCCTATGTTATTTGTGAACGATGAATTCTGAATGAGGTAGTCATAGGCTTTATCAATCTGTTAAAAAGAAAATGTTCTCAATTAACAATTTTTAACTTACTAGTAATTTATTCCTATTACCTTCAATATGAAGTGTTCAGTAAGCACAGCAACAAACAGTGAAGTAACTCAGGTGCTACCTGAGGCAACTGACTGTGCCTTACACGATACTCAGTATACTGAGAATGAGGCAATATTTTCAGTCTGCAACAGCCACACGAAGTCAAGAACATAAAAAAAAAAAAAAAGACAAATCTCCTTGCTATAAATCTGTCAAAAGATACATAACAAAAGTTTTCAGAGATTACTTCAAAGACAAAGAGGACTTCAAAGGCCCAAACCTACTACACTAATTTAGGTGCCTTTCTCATATGTGGAACAACACTACTTAAGCATTTAAACCTTTTATACGGTACAAGAAGTTGAGCAGTTCAAAAGAGACAAGCAATATGGGATGCCCATGTAGGTTTTATATAAAATCTCTTCTACTTCACAGTGAGCTACCTTCACCAGTGGAAATTATGGCACTCTCCTTTGAGAGAAGTGGACATACAAGAACCTTGGTCTCCCAGATCAGGGTTTTAACCATCTGTTTTAACACATGCTTTAATCACAGACTACTAAATTGTAAGATATGACTGGTGCATGTCATTTTTCTGTGGCAATGTTTTCCATTTGATAAGGCTACCATCATTGTTGCCTTCTCTATCAAACTTAGCGTTACAGAATTGCTTAGGGGGCATTATCTACTAGGTCCTCACATCTCCAGAACATGAGCTTAGGGCTAAGCATTTAATCTACCATCTTTAAGCATGAGAGCAAAACCTCATTATGTCTATTTGGCCAGGATGGAAGTGACTGTATGCAAAAAACAGCAGCAGCTTTCTAAAATCCTAAGCTTATGCATAAGGAGACTGTAATTCACTATGCCTTCATCATACAAAGGATCACATCACAGATTTCTAAGCTACTTAGAAGTCCAAAGGATACAACGAACACTCAAGACTTTTCAGTGCAGTTCAGTCATTGCACAACTGCAGCTGTACTGCTTTGTGAACCAGCACAGGTATCTGAGTGTTTTCACTGCCCAGAACTTAAAGAGTTCCCACTTTTGTCTGCACAGAACAAGTTCAGCTTTCTCTGACAATAGCATAAAAACACGTTTGGACACTGGGACAGAATTTAACCATCCAAATCCATATGTGGGTGGTAAAAACCCACATCCCACTTCTATGTCCACATATTTTTTTGGTCAGTCTAAGAATGAGTCCAGTTAAAACACTTTTTCTACACTAACTGCATGCTGAAACTGAAAGAACCATCTCATTCCTCCTTCCCTCCCACTACATTCCCTTCTTCTCCCTCAGTCTGATCTAAGAATCAAGAATCACCTAGAAAGCTGCTCTTCTTTTGTGGGTTAGTTTTCCACTGACAGTTGTTTATATTACATTAGGGTTTTTTTTGCTAGCAAGTACCTGAATAATACCATGTCCTTGCGCAAACACTTCTACGTTTTCAGCTTTCACTGCAGTATTTTCTAAAGCTCTTCTGACAGAATGAACAGTGTACTGAACATCATTAGCCTTGAGTCCTGAAATTAAAATAAGGGTATTATTGGATACAACAGAAAATTTGAAAGTTATTGCATTTTTTTTTTTTAAGAGGAAAAAGTATCTAATCTCTTTTAGACTATGCATCTATATTTAACATTGTAGCACATTACCTGACAACACTAACGCAATGCCTCCACATGCATTGGGAGAAGACATGGATGTGCCATTCATGAGTTGTGTTCCTCGCAGAGTCCAGTTTGGAACAGAAGCAATAGCACCTCCTGGGGCACTGATACTTACTCCAAGGGCTCCATCAGTGCTAGGGTAAAAACACAGTGGTTGAAACACAAACATTTTTTTTCTGCACACTTTATCTTGAAGTTATTAATGAACTTAAAAAGATAATTTTAGATTCAGGGAACATGCACAAGTATATTACTTCACTAAATCCATTAACCCATTAAACTCAAGAAAAAGTATGCCACTAAGTAGCCATTTAAATTGTCATATTAGTCACCAGCTACGCCTGTTTTACAGTAAAAGTTTTCTAAACTTTCACTACTTCAATATTCTTCACTATGCTTCAGTTTAGTCAGCAGAATATCTTCTGGGATTTGAATCAGAAAATGCCCACAAACAAACCTATTAAACACTTCAATATATAAATTAGTAGTCTACATAGCTGATTCAACAGTTATTATTTTTAAAGAAAAACAGTAAAAGGGAGAGGAAAATTAGAAAAGATCAAAAATCCAGATCTCTAATTTTGCATGTTGCCACTTCACTACCAGGTCAGATGATGCATTACAATACAGAAGCTGAGACAAGAAGACCAAGTGCAGGAGACAAAAAAAAGGACTGTCAGGAGGTGGACGAGGATCAGCTGGACCTAAGCCACCTTTCTTTCTTGCCCAAGCATATCTGAGAATGGACCTGCATCACAGTTAAAGCATCATGTAGTTTTCAGCTGTATGAGCCAACCATACTCCATCTTCCTTGCTCCGGATAGACAAAACTGCAGCAGTTTAAGGGCAGCACTGCGCCTGAGCTATTAAGTTCTGTGGAGAGGCAGGGTATTTTAGGGTATTTATATCCCACACTAACAGCTTCACATGTCTAAAATCTGCCCCAAATCAGAGCACTCTCTGTATGATACTGTAATGTAATGTTTGGACATATTTTATGACAGCTCTATATAAACAACAGGTCCAGTACTGTGATATTTCTGGCCAAGCAGTGCACAGTGTATCTGCCTGAAAGCCTCTAGTGCTCAATCACACAGACTGATCCCCAAGTCTGCTCTAGCAAAGCTTCAGGAACTCTCCAGTCACCTGCATGTTGCACCCTACAAAAAAGGAATCCTCCTTTGGCCAGACTTGGGCCTTTCACCTTATGTATGCTCATTCTGACTATTTTACAATGCAAAGTGACAAAGTACACAAAATTTTGGTTTTTATATATATGTGTGTACTTATGTACACCAATATTAATTACAAATCTCCCTTTCTCAGCTGAAGGCAGAGAAGACATTTTTCTTTTCCCTACATGAAACATGACAACTTTGCATAATAAGATTCTTGGAAAAATATAATTGCCTGTAAATATACAAATACCATGACAGCTAACTCTAAAGACCAATGCTAACAGGGAAGGATTCACTACATAACCAGCAAATAAACCAAGGTTCATCGTCAAGCTACGTTTTTTTACTTTTTTCTTCACCCAAAACTATTGTAGGCTAAACTACAAAAGACAGTATAGAGTAACTCCACGACTCACAAGAACAATTCCAAAGGCTAAACACAGGCAAGAACTCAGGAAGAGATGCTATTCATTTCTTCTTCTTTTGGTTACCACACTACTATCAAATGCTTCTGAGATGCTGAATAAAAATTGAAGTTTTCATTGCCCCTAGATTTTCTTTTATAGATCTTTGAGATAATCTTCTATAACGTGAGGTAGAAAAGTATTTTTTTCTTGAATAAGTTGAACCACCACAGAAGTGTCACTGAAGCCAGAAGCAACACCACTGCAATAACAGTATTTCTTTTAATCTCCAACACTAACAGAACAGTTAACTTCACCACACTAACTTAATGAAATAAATGCTATGGAAAAAGTCTTCTGAAAAAATAAATTTCAGAAAAAGAACAAATTTCCAAACAACTTTTCAACAACTTTTATAATCTTTGAATAGGTTTGTGCTCATCAAATACATTTTCCCAAAACATACAAGTTGTTCCAAGGCAGTACAGTGGTCTTCCCCATTCCCGAGGAGTTCTAGAGCCTGACATACAAATGCCTTCCAAGAACAGCAGGCTGCCTACACTCTTCCCATGGGAAAGAAATACTTCTATTCCAGTATTAATGACCGATTTTTAGATTTTGAATTACAAAACCTGAATCCCCAAAGTAATGAATTTGTTCTTTTAGCATAACCTACCTAGGCCCTCTGGATGACCAAGTATATTGATTTGCTGGCAGTTTTTCTCTTAAAGAGTATTCAGCAACCATCATGTCAGGTGATACATAGGCACCAACACCTGTAAAAATCATTCAAGTATTTCAGATGTCAACAAATTTTTATTAAAAGTAATAATAAAATATTTCAGTGTTTTAAATTCATTACAGGAATTTTTGCTTGACATTTAAAATGCACATTTTCCATCTCATTAAATCCAAACATTTTTACAAAGCAAGTGTAAAGATGGCCATACCCCCACATCTCAAACACAGGGATGAGTCATTACTTTCCTGTACGAGGAAAGGCTGATAAAGTTGTATTTTTAGAACGTGATGTCAAGGACACACAGTGCATCCATGCCATGTACCTATTCTAAAGTGTACACATCATTTTTTTAATTGCATAAGCACTATTAGGATGGTAGAATAGCACCACACCACACTTACAAACAAATTTGTCAAGGTCCACGTCCATACTGTCTTGGGTGAACTAAGCCAACTCGCTGACTGTATTTTGCCTTGCCCTCAAAAAAACCCAACCCCCCCCCCTCCCCCATCTGGTTCACTCCCGATGGAGGACAAGGAGGAAGGTACTTTTCACACAGGGTGAATAGTCACCCAGACTCTAGAGCGATACAAGCAGCAAGGTGAACTGACAGAGTAGATGCACTGTAAGAGCAAAGTCAATGCATACCTGGAAAGAGCTTGTTAGTTCTGGTTCCAACCCCCAGTCTCAGTAGGGGAGTAGTTGCACATTAACTTTCAGACAGTAATCAGCATTACTTTTATTGGCTGTCCTGAAATAGTGTCTCTCCAACTTCCAAGACTACATGCTAGTCTCCTTGCATGAGAATTCTGAGATTTAACAAGCATCTTGTGTAATGCAGTAACGTGGCATCAGAGGATTTATATAAAAATTAAGACCAGGGAAGCTATCCCTGAACACTAGACATTTTGCTAAGTCTTGTACTTCAATCTTTCATTGAAATATCAGAAACATACACTACCACCTCAGAAAAGCCAATTCTATGCCACTAAGACTTTCACAGATGTGGCACTGCAGCTTAAAGAATTCTTCCCTAGAAGAACTTGTCTAGGTCATGTCATGGGATTATTTTATATCTAAATTAAAAAGCTCTGTATCACTAAAAAAAGAAATGAGAGTATCTGAAGAAGACAGATACTCTAAAACTGTGGTTCTGCCAATTTAGAATGCATTGCAAGACTTTCCAGAAGATTTAGAATCCAACTTGCTTATATTTTTCATGAGTTGCATTTACCAGCAGCTTATGGTCTAAGTGAAGTGGGTGCTCAGAGAGTTACAGTAAAAAAAAAAATAATCTTGGAGTCTTCAAATAGGTCAGATTACAAAGAGTTGTTTTAAAAGTTTTATACAAAGCTACATCAAATCAAGACCATCTGCCTTTTTCATAAATAAGGTCTTGAACTGTCAGAAGATAACAACCTAAAATTTTATACCTAAGCATACAGAAAGTGCCTCCCTGAGAATTAATCTTGTAGCCCAGCAGTAATTTATTTTTTTTAGATTTAGTTCAGCAATCAACTGATGATCTCAAACATGTAACACAAGTACAAAGCTTGAAAAGACAGAAGCTGAATACTGTCAATCTTTTTTTTTTTCCAAAATGAATTATTTACCTATTACACTAGATGTAGTTCCCCCAGGACATCCTACTGTAGAAAGGCAAGGGCCATTATTTCCTGCACTTGAAACATAGATTACATTGTGTTTCCACACTGCTTCATTAATTACTTCACAAATTCTCCTGATGTAAGAGAAAATAAAGTAAGTCATTTCATCAACAATATTGTTTTCTTTGCAGAGGACAAAACTCCCATTTCTAGCAGAATCTCTGTGGCCAGTCACAGAACAAACAATACTATGCAGCCTGCTTCCCACACCTAGCAGAGGCAGTTCCAGTACAGAATTCGACCACAAAAGATATTTTCTAGTTTTAAAAAGGAGTAACAGTTATGTAGCAATATTAGGTCTTCAAAAAAACCCCACAGATTATGTGGTGTTCCAACTACAAAAATTCTTTATTGTCTAAAATATTCTTTGTATTAGACATTAATAGCACTTTTGACAGGTTTACTTAACTTTCAAAGATAGCTAAAAATGTAAACTGCAACAGTTTAATGTATATGAATAATTTGGCCCTGGACAATTCACTCTTACTGACAGTTCACTTACACAAAGCTCAACAAATCTAACTCCATTTCTGTGATATTAGAATACTTTATATTAACCATAGTGGTACTCACCCAGCATTTGGCCAATGTGTTGCCTCTCCATAGCTATAGTTGACAAGATCACATTTGTATTTTATTGCTTCTATCATCTGATAAAGTAAAAATAAAAGCCAAAATGCATACTAGTCATAGAACAAACATCTGCTCAAACTGATCTGCTACAGATCTAAGAAAAAGGGATACATTTCTTTTGACTACATAAAAGAAAAGTTAATTTACTTCAATCAGTTACTTAACTGGTATTTGCAAAATGAACAAACAGAATGAAAAAACCAAACAGTCCCTGAATACTCTTTTTCTTGACATGTTCCAAGCTATAAATTAAGGCATTACCCTAAGAGAAGCAAACATCATTAGTATTGTCTCAAATGTCTGTCCCTCAATAACATAAAATTCTCCTTTCCTGTGCAGTTTGGTTAAATTCTAAAAAGTCACAAAAACATTATTGAACATCTTCATGTTGCTATTGCAAGATATTCTACGGGCCACAAATATGATTTTCTATTTTCAGTTCCTTCTCTCATGTAAAATTTTTCCTCATCAACTCACTATATGGAAAAGGCCTTGGGCCTCTCATCATTAAAAAGGATTGATATTTTTCCTCACTCTTAAGAAAGAGTTAAAATGAATTCAGCCACATGGGTAGATACTAGTCTCTACTCTAGATTTATTTAAGTATTTAAGTATTCTATAGTTATCTAAGTAAATTTTTAAGAAATACACTCATAAGACAGAATAAGGAACTTAAAAAAGCATTCAAGTAACTTAGCCTATGTGTCAAGCTAGCCAGACATACTGCAACTCAGTCTGAAAAACCCTATAAGTGCTCTATGCAACAGAGGTCTTGTTTCATATTAAAACATTAGCCTTAAGATTATGTTTTAAAATATATTCTGGTTGGTTTTGTGGGGGCTTTTTTTCGGTTGGGTTATTTTTGTTTGGTTAGATTTTTTTAGTGGAGGGGGGGAAGGTGGGTGTTTGGTTATTGGGTTTTTTGATAGAAATAGTCTAAAACCATAAAAACACAGCCTATAAGCAATTAGAGCAGAAAGTGTTCTACAATATTCTACAATTAAGTCACACTGCTGTGATTAATCATTTATTCAGTGAATACTCACAGCTCTTATTAGACCAGTGCCAGTTTCCATTGTACTTAGTCTTGTATCACCAATCTTGATTGCAAGAATCTGAGCTCCAGGAGCCACACCATTTCGTTCTGGTTCTTCTGGAAAGTATCCAGCTGCGATACTAGCCACGTGTGTTCCATGTGCTCCTGAGCAAATGAAAAGTCGTATCACTATGTTTAGTGAAATTCATTTATACCAATTTAAGATACTACAGCTCAAGCAATTTTCACTTATTAAGCTCTAAGTATATAAATCCAGTTTGTGGCCGGTCACAAGTGGGGTTCCCCAGGGCTCAGTGTTGGGGACAGTTCTGTTTAATATCTTTATCAATGATCTGGATGAGGGGATCAAGTGCACCCTCAGTACATCTGCAAACAACACCAAGCTGGGCGGGAATGATGATCTGGTGGAGGGTAGGAAGGCTCTACAGAGGGATCTGCACAGGCTGGATCGATGGGCCAAGGCCAATTGTATGAGGTTCAACAAGGCTCAGTGCCGGGTCCTGCACCTGGGTCACAACAATCCCCTGCAATGCTACAGGCCTGGGGCAGAGTGGCTGGAAAGCTGCCAGGCAGAAAAGGACCTGGGGGTGTTGGCCAACAGCTGGCTGAGCATGAGCCAGCAGTGTGCCCAGGAGGCCAGGAAGGTCAATAGCATCCTTGCTTCTATCAGAAAGTAGATAAAGTAGACAAACAGAAGCATAAAAAGGAAACTCTCAAAATATTACCACCAACTTAGAAAACAGAATTGCTTCTGTAGTTCTACTGAGACAGTATAATTTAAGGAGAAATTAAGAACATTTTTCAAATCAAATACAGCCATATCACCTAAACCATTCAGGATGTTTACAAAAGCATGATCATATAACGAACATATAAATATGGGTTCAAAGTGGTTGGAGCTACAGCTACAGTGACACCTGCCATCACAAAAAATTTGGGATAAACTAAGATAAATATCCCTTTTGCTCATGGATGTCTTACTTAAGATTCTTAAATTACACAAGCACAAAGAACAGCAACTAAAAAAAAAAAAAAAAAAAAAATCAATCACCACCCTATATGTAAGAAACAAAACAAAAAAGGTACTTTGAAAGAAGGTTCCCTCGGTATTAGGCTTTAAGATGCAGGAACACCTTAAAGAGTACCTAAACATACACAGCTATGTATACATGCATATGAATCCAAAGCTGACAATATTTCAGATAAGGTGCGAGCAATTTTGGTAATAAGGTGTGAATATCGATCCTGATTGCCACAGTAATGAATGCTGTATTAAGACAGCTGCCTTGAGCCATCCCAAGTATCAGAATCAGGACCCAATAAAAAGTGCCACTTCTCCTGATGCCTACTTAGCTGCAAAATTTTCTTAAGATTATTTTCATTTACCTCCACTTGTCACAATGGAAAGAAGGTTTCCATCATCATATATATTAACAGAATAATTCAACATCTCAGATGTTCCGAAAGATCCATATTCCTGAGCCTCTTTGTAGGTTCTCAGCACTGTACAGCTACTTAAGTCACCACTCTCACTTGTATCTATGCAGGCTCTGTAGACAAAAACAACAAAAAAAGGCAATTTTTGAGCTGCTGCAATCTTTTGGTTAGCTCCCCAGCCCCCAGCAAAGAGTACCACATAGACTTCAAGAAGCCTGGTTCTGCATTTATGGTATCTTGCTTTTTTAAGTCAGTATTTTTAAACCTGTCTGTTTACACTTAGATTCAGAAACTAGAAAGATCTCTAAACTGATTTTCCAAGTGCTATTAAATTCAAATAAATCTGTCTTTGAAAAGCAAGCATATGGAAATTCAGGCAATTTCTTCAGGGAAGAAATTTTACTAAAGCTAGCTGTTTAGTGCTGGTACACAAACATTTGAAGTCTTGCCCACTGTTTTGTATGATGCACATTATGAGTCAAGAAAAGTGCCATATTACATCCCAAAGTTTGTGCAAAGACTTCTCTTTGTTTTGTTGGGTCTTTTTCCCTATCACCAATGGATACTCAAAGCAATTTTACTCTGTCTCAGAGGAAAATCCCACAAGCTTACACGTTATATCATGCTGTCTTTAAGACTTCATTGTACCCCATCTTCATTTGGGATCAGATCAGTCAAGAAACCCAAGTGATACAGCATGATTATTTTAAAGCAAATAATAAATAACATTTAAGACCTCTATAAAGAGGGTAGATTTTTTAAATCTGTTAACAAAGTCTTCAATGCAAGCTGCTGTTTTATGTGTAGAACAAGACACTTTAGACACGTTTAGGCGTTTACCTCCAGGTCTCACCATCATTCCATACTACACAATCATATACTGGGCCAGGATCACTATATTTTTTCTCAAAGGAATTCAACAGTTCTACTTGATTTTGAAGTTCTTCCTTTATTAGCTTATTTACCTAATAAGGCAACAGAAATACAGTTAGAGTATTTCTAAAATTATTACAAGACAGGTAGTCCTATATTCCTTTCTGATGCTATACATTTGTTTCATTACTTCATCAAGAATGTAAGACTCTTAAACATCTAGAAGTTCAGTGGTCTTCAACAGTACACTATTTATTTTTGGCCTATTATGTATAACTATTTCTAATTACTGTAATTTTAACATTTAAAGCCCTCAGGTTTTTTCCAGGTTGTTAAATGATACAGAAGTGACCCAAGGCATTTCTGGTACTTCACTGAAATAGCATCTAGTTTAGAAAAGAAAGGATATGTTTAGAAGATTCCAACTTCAAGCACAGCAAGGATGACAGCCTCAAAAAAAGAGTATATTAAATTAAAAATAAAACTTACTAAAAGTACGCTACAAAGTGTTTTAAGTAATACCCCTTTCATATTTGACATTAAGTTTAGAAAGTTAACAACATTAAGCAAATCAAACAAACATCCATATACAAATGGATTTTAAATTGATTGGAAGTTATCTGCAAAAATAATCACAAGTATCTTTCCTTCACTCATCCAATAACATTTTTAATCCTCTCAACCAACAACAAATTCTTGCACACAACAAGTTTACAAGCTTATTTAGACTTATACAAACCTGGGAGGGAGAGCTGTGAGCAGCATCAAATTCTTCTTGTTTCCTACAGGCCTCTGCTAGAGCCAGCCTGTGAACAGGATCCCAGAGCTTTTCCTTGCGTTCTTTCTGTAAAATAAAACAAAAGTTCTTTGATATATTGACAAATACAGATGTCAAAACAAGAAAACTACAAAAATAATTTGAAAATTATGATTTGATACACAAGGGCTGAAAAAGTTCAATGCAATACTATAAATAAACATCAATTGCTACACAGAAAAAAATAAATGGGTATCAGTAATTTCTAGATTTTTTTCCTCAATGGATCACTGTGAGGAGGACCACTAGGCCAGCCCCCATTGTTCTGAAAAATCACAGAAGAAATAGATCATGTAAAAACTAAACGAAAAGCAGTGAGACAACAGCTCTCAAGCTCTGGCTAGCAGTCTGTAAGTGTTAGCAAATCACATCCTGCAGTTTCCCAGAAAAACTAAGAATCAAAACAGTGAAATACAACTACACACCAGAAGTAAAATGTAATTCCTTACCTGAATCCTCTCCTTAAGAGCTTTAGGGTAGATGTCATAGCCATTTTTTATGCCAACGTGATATTTGCCTGAAGGATTTACCCAGTTTGCTGGAATCTATAGAAAAGTGTATTCAGAAATATGTTAACAAACAGCATCAAAAAATATTTTAAAAAAATCAACACTGTGTAAGAGAGCTTAGCAGAACAGATTTGCAAACACTGACAATTTAATTCCCTGTATCCACGACAGTCACTACTGCAATAAGTTTCAACAATGTGATGTGGCAATTTCAGTCCAGTTCCGAAGGGATCAGTACCAATTTGTGCGACACTGCCACTGAACATCTTTAAGTATCAGTTGCCCTGATACTCTTCTTTTATAACATACAGCCCGTGACGTAATGTTTTTGGGTAGAGGTCTGAGGAAATAGTAGTACTACAAATTAGCAAGCTAGTGTGAAAGGGTATTATGGCTAGAGGTCATGAGAAACATCTGAATGTCTAATTTCATATCTTGCTGTAGTTTAGACTCTCAGTATATCAGATTCACTATTCCTAGTAACAGCAAAAGAAAACAACAGATTCACCCTTATAATCGTATTTTGTGCAAAATTCAGAAGAAAGCTGATAGCATGGCAAAGATTTGATGCCCCCTCATTTGATCACCTCAGCAATCTAACCAGCCCATCACAAACACGTCAGTAACATCAGCAGTTGCATGCAGCTGAGACCTCTACTAGATCTCACCATATTCCTTCTGAAAACTCTACACCATTTCTGCTCTATTCATAGTGAAAATGCAGTGAGCCTCCAACTAAGTCCTCACAGACTTTTCAGTCTCTAGGACTACTTACCACAAGCTCAACACAATTCCTCTTGTAATTTATACAAATGTGGGAAATACCAGCACTTTTAAAGATAGAATCATGTCCGATATGTGTGTTAGCATGTTTTCTTCAGCCAGCTTACAAAACTATATCAGATACTGACGTGAACAAAGAGTTATGAAATTACTGTTAAGCCCGCAACAAAACTCTACACACTCGCATTCAGCCATAGAGAACATTCAATATAAGGACACAAGAAAAGTAAAATCAATTTATACGAACAAACAGTCTGCATGAAGATGAGCAAACGCAGTATTCATTTTGGGTAAGATCTAGTGAAAGGGAAGTGAGTTCTGCAGAAACCAAAAGAGGTCCTAAATTTGTTGTTAAAGAAGAAAGAGAGAAAAAGATGCCCAGTGGTGTCCCTGTACCACCAAATACTCACCTTTAAAGTTCTTCCAGAAAGACCAGTGATTTCCCCATCTTTAGGTTCTACAATGGTACATGTAGTTACATCTCCACTGCCTGTTGTATCAATTATATCAATTATCTTGGGTTTCCCATCAGTTGTAATCTGAAAATATGAACACAGAAAAATGTAAAATGTAGTTGACTACTCTTTAGAATACAAACCAGGAATTTTTTTCATTTTTCTTAATAAAACATCAACTAACTTTCTCAAGCACTCAACCTTTAACTGAATGACATAAAACCAACCTGAAATTAGATACATTTTCAATGAACTAAGAGCAGCATGTACATTTTTATGGTTTATACAAATTCACTAACCCATTTCTTAAAAGCATTTACAAGAAAAACAAGTAAAAATACTGTATCAATAAAACATAGTGGCCTCAAAACCGAGTCTAAATTTGCAAAATCATTTGCAAAAACTACTATTTGTGTTTAAACTCTTTGCTGCATTACTTCCATCCATCATTCTGGCCAAATTTTATAGTACCGAGTGCACAACTCTAACAAAACATAAGGTGCTGAAGCGCATGCACTGACAACTGAGCTTAAACCTAAAAGGAACACAAGTTACCATCACCTTATTTTTCTGTTTCAAGGATTCTGCCTCATATTTTTATCAATCTGAAGTGTTAGGAGCTATTACTATATACACCCAATATTGTATAACTAATATTTTTACCAGGGTGAAGAGAGACAGCTGACTAACTAAGAATAGTTTACGAGCATAAATGTAAAGACTCCTCAAATTTAATGAAAACTAGCCCTGACAGACTTTATTGTAGTTGCAGGCAACTAAACAACATCAAAAAAGAAACCACTAACCTACTTAAATTTCCTTTCACCTAGAGGAACCTTCTACACAATTACCAAGAGTAGGATTCAGATTTTTTTTTTTTTTTAACATTTAGCAAAAATATTCTGTGTATCTTCTTGTAATAACATGCTTCATCTAGTAGGTACTGTATCAGTTTATTCATCAGATAAACTCTACTCCATATACAGTAGTATTTGCTTGAAGGGCAATATGAATTCAGAGGGATGGAACACCACTCCTGTGAGGAAAGCTGCAGTTCTAAAAAGTTCAGCCTGGAGAAGAGAAGACTCAGGGGAGACATTATTGCAGCCTTTCTGTTCTTAAAGGAGGCTTAGAAGAAAGATGGGGACAAACTTTTTAGCAGGGCCTGTTGCACAGTACAAGGGGTGATGGCTTTAAACTAAAAGAGGGTAGACTCAAGGAAGAAATTTTTCACACTGAAGGTAGTGAAACACTGGAACAGGTTGCCCAGCGTTGCCATCCCCAGAAATATTCAAGGTCAGGCTGGATGGGGCTCTGAGCAACCTGATCTAGTTGAAGATGTCCCTGCTCACTGCAGGGGGGTTGGACTAGATGACCTTTAAAGGTCCCTTCCAACCCAAATCATTCTATGAATTGGCCATATGCAACTATTTTTACAGCTCTACATTAAAGACTGATTTTCAGAAAAGAAAAAAGATATCAATAATCTTCCCAAATCTCCTATACGCTAAAGAGAAAAAAGCTTTTTTTGTTTTTTTTTTCAGAAAAGCAGCAACATTTGCTGTTTTCTACCATTTAAATATTTTGTATTCTTGCTTTTATTCTGTATCAATAATTTTGATGCTAGACAACACATACAGCAGGTAGTTTTGCTCAAATCATGCTGTGGAATGGTGAATTCACCTGTTGGAAATTGACAGCATGGTCAAGGTGTTTCACAAAAGTCACTCTGTTGCCACCAAAAAGACAACAAGGTCAAGCTTTTATCACACCTCAACAAATAAGGATAAATACTTCCAGGTCCTCAAATTCTCATGGTTATAAAAAAAAACCCCAAAATAAAAACCAAAAACACACAAGCCAAGCTCCCCCCTCAAAAAACCTCAAAAACCCCCACTCCAAACACACACACAAAACCCAAGCAACCTCACCTCTCCAAATAAGAACAAGTTTAAACAGCTAAAAAAAGAACCAAACCCCCTAATCCCAAACCTATAGCAGTCATAAAAAAGACAGTAATTTCCATTTCCCAGAAGGTAACAAATACTGCTTTTGAAGAGGCTTGCTAAGGAAGAACTTCCATTACAGAAACCAACACTGTTACTCTGTTCATAGAAATTCACACTCAGTTAAGAGAATTGTTAAAGCAAGCTAGCTTGGTAAAACATCTACTAAACAACAGCTACACAGTAGTGGAAAAATTACTTGGGAAACACAGTGCATAGGCACTCAAGCCATATAATTTTCTAGCGTTTACAATTAATGCCTTCAAATGGCAGTCTCCACTCACAGAAAAGTCAAGAGCTGCACCAATAATAAAGCAACTGCAAGCCAAATCTGAGATTATCAGAATTGGACATTTTTCAATATGCCCCTAATCACAGTGAATTATTTAGTGATCAAAGCACAAGAAAACACGAATGAAAATGTAATCCAAGGTGACTTGTTTGAAGTAGACAAGTTATACTGCAACAGGTGGCCACAACACAGATTTATGCCATAGCGAGCTTGAGTAGCTTTAAAAGTTGTTTCCTTGCCAGGAAGATGATGTGTAGCTCCTGCCCTTTGGGGCTCTTTGCCTCCTGGCTGCACAGCAGGTCCACACACACACTGAGTTTGTACAATCAGAACCAACAAATCTGAGCCTCTCAGTCAGATACAAGAAACCCAGAGTTTCAGGTGCAAAGGTCGAAGGTTCA